TGCTTCGCCGAGCTCTTGATCGTGTCGACGCTGACGTGGGCAAGCCGCGCATGCATCCTATCGGGGGTCGTCTGCGTCGCCGAGACGATCGTCCGCAGAGCCACCACCTCGGTCGACTGCGACTGCGTCGAGCAGGGGCGAAGGTCGGTGCAGAGGACTCGTCCGGTGTAGCGTGCTCGACCGAGCACCTCTCCAGTCGCGGCGACGAGCAGCATCTCATCGCCATCCCCCTGCAGTAGCACGCCGCTCTCCTTCAGCTGGCCAGCAGACAACAGGTTTGCCTGAACACCCGGAACGTAGAGCACGTCGGGGATGAGCACCCGCTTCCCGGCCTCCCCTTGCAGAGCGACAGTTCCACGACCCTCGACAGACTGCAATGCCCCGTTGAACCCACACACGTGCTTCACTCCGTCGCTCGGCCCCATGTCGACGAAGACCGATTTCGTCCCCATCAGGTGGTGGGAGCACCCGCTGTCGAGCAGCACCGCCATCGGGTTGGCCTGCACAGCTGCTGCCACCGCCTGGAAGTCCTCGCCAGCCTCCGGTGCTAGCGAGACCGTCGGCTCCACCACGCCGACCATCGAGCACGACGCCTCCCCGTCGCCTCGGCTCTTGCCGCTGGAGCTGTCGACGTCCTTCGTCGAGGATGTTTTCTTCGACGCGTGCTTCTCCTTGCGCGGCTTCTCAACTCGACGGGGGCGGCGACTGGCCGATCGACCGTGGCCTTCCTTGTTGTCGTCCTCGTCGCTGTCATCACGGTCGGGGCATTCGAAGGAGAGATGGTCGGGGTCGCCGCAGATCCAGCACTCCCGCCGTCGACCACCACCTCGTCGACCCTTGTCCCGCGTCGACCTCTTCTCGTCGACGTCCTTCGTTGACCGCCCACTTCCGCTACCACCTCCGCCTTGTTTCCCGCGCTGCTCCTGCTGATAATTCGGCTTCGTCGGTGCAGCGTAACTCGCCTGCGGAAGGAACTCCGTGGGCTGTTCTGCCTCCTGCATCGCCTCATCCTGGAGAATGTAGCTGGTGATGGAGTCCTCGTCGAGGGACTCACGAGTGCCGGGCACCATCATCATCCTCTTCATGAGATTGTAGCTGCGCGGCAAGCCCTTGACGATGTGGGTGATGTAGGACGCCGTCGAGTATTCGGCGCCCGCCATTCGCATTTCAGCCAGGATCCGTCGAGCACGGTTGCAGTAATCCGTCGCCGACTCCTGCTCTCCCATCCGAAGGTGAGTCATCTTCTCCTCCAGCTGCCCGATGTACAGGTCGTCCCTGACCTGGTACGTCGACATGATGAAGCGCCATGCCTGGTGGCCAGCATCTAGTCGCTCTCGACAGCTCCTCAGCGCTAGCTGCACCACCGGCGAGCAGCACCTCGAGATGACCATGAAGGTGAGCAGGTGAGCCGAACGAAACTCCCCGCGCAGCTCGACGTCCTCCTCGGGCGGAATTGGCACGGTGCCGTCGGCGAAGCCCTTCAGCCCGGCGACCTCCAGCTGAGGTTCGATCGATTCCCTCCAGGTGATGAGGTCCCGTCGACCTTGCAGCGGAGCGACGGCGATCCGGTCCGGCGAGAACTTGAAGTAGCCATACGCCGGTGCAATCCCGCCCGCTGTCACATGTGTCATCACCGAGAGCCCTCCACCACTTCGCGGAGGAGAACGGCGTCGAACATCGACGTCGGCATTCGAGCTTCCTGCAATGGCCGTCGACCGCTGCACTCGCGCCTGGATTCCGTCGACACCACCGTCGACTTTGATCACTCCTCTCTGCCTCGTGCCTTCGCTGCCGTTGACTCGCGCACCACCGTCGACATCGTCGTCGACGCCACCTTCGTTGCGCACCGGTCGAGGAGTAGGACGGGAAGGGTGTTCCGTCGCCCACTGCGATCGGATGCCCAACTCGGCGATCACCAAGGGGATCGTCCCATACTCGCCATTCGCGTGGCGTCTCCTCGCATCAGCCAAACGTGCCTCCAAGGTGTCCGCTTCACCCGCATCAACTACGGGGTCGACCATGGCGACTCTCGCTGCTGACGGCCTACGAACGACTTAGTAGGTGCAAAAGTCGGCTCCTATCTGAAGGTCGCGTGTTCGATCCACGCTCACCGCACCATGAGGAGATAAACTATACAATGGTAGTGAGCTAGACTACAGGGGTTAGCACGAGCTACTAGAGGTGATCGCAGCTTTGCTTGGTTCCTTAGTGCTTGCACATTCACAGGAGAAATTGGCAAGAGTTTCCACTAGCAAAGTTGGAATTACAGAATGGTTGAAGGAGAAATAACAACAATGACTACATCAGGCACCTAGCAATCCTGCAGTTAGCTTGGTCGACTGCCAACGCAGCTCGGTCGACCACCTGCCAGCATTGCGTAGAGGAGCCGCGCCAGCATTGTAGAAGGGTGACCTCGTAGAACACAGCAGTGCGCGCGCTCACAGGTGTGTGCAGACGATTGGCCCGACTTGCCACGTTGGGCATCCGTCGGCTGTTGTCTGCGCCTGAAGAGCCACATCGACTTTGGGATACCAGCCCGAAGTCGCCTGCGCCATCTCGATCTCGACGACGTTCGCGTGTCTCCGCAGAACTCGTCGAGCAGGTTACCCGGTCGACCTGGTCGACCCCTGGTGCTCTGGTCGACTCCCAGGTGCCTCCCGTCGACCACTGGGTCCCTCTGGTCGACCACCGGGCGCTCCTGGTCGACCACACCTCCCGTCAAGCTACCCCTTGGTCGACGGACCCCTTCCGTCGACCGGAACTGTTCCGTCGTCCTCCCGGTCGAGCTGCAGTTCGACGGGACGCTACGTTGTCCTCCCCATCGAACTGTAGGTCGACGGATTGCTCCGTCGACCTCCCGGGCTGTTCACCCGTCGCCCAGGCCAGTCAGGTGCAGCTGTCGAGCATCCTGGTCGAGAGCAACACCACAGTGGTCCGCTGCAGCTCGACGTAACCTGTCGAGCAGCTATCCCACTGTGAGCAGTCGGCTGCTACTTCCGTACATCCGACCAAGTTGTCGGCGTTGCCCAAGCGAGGGCGGGGCCAACACTCCTTTCCCGTTAACAATGATGACATTGTAGAAACCGACCCGGGGACGTGCAGAACCCGTCCGAAGGTTCACTTCAAACTCGTTTTGTGTCAAACACGTTAGGAGGTGACACTAGTTTTCGCCAAATTGTTTTCTCGGACAAATCCTAGCTCCGTCGCCGGTGCGAAAAAACTCGCTTGATTGGGTAACCTCTCGCCTCAGATACTATACCCCGCAGCGTTACTGTACCTCGTCAAAAGTCCGAATCGTACACTCGAATTTGGACATGAAATGTTTGGGGTTCGCCCTGGTTTACAGTCAAGTTTGACTGGTGCATTTACGTAAAAATCACGAAAAAAAACGGGAGTGTGCAAAGTTGGACCCGCCCTAAATTCCATAGCTGGTGGGTGGAAACCCTGAGGGAAGGGAAGCAAAAACACGAAGCTGAGGGCTACACCCAGCAAAATACCTAAGTGTATCCATTCAGGGTGGCCCTGGGCATGTCAGCAATGAGCCTGAAGAATGCTTTTTGGGCGCCAAGTGCGTTTTGCGCAGCAAGTGCGGCTTCTGCCAGTGTCAGAATAACCAGTTGCGTTGGTTATTCTGCATTGTCGCGCTTCGACAGCTAGGATTCGCGTTGCCAACATTGATCTTCGATACGGAGGGACATGTCGGTGCTGGTTCTCACTGTTGGCAAAATTTGCCTCCTTCGCCCCGCCTTTCGAAAACTGCTCTTGCCCGGGATGTGAGACGGAGGGGGAGGGAGGCGCTGGGTTAGGGAACACCACAACTGAACAATAGAAAGCAAACAACCCCTCCCTCGAGTAGCCCAAACAGGGACGGAGCAAACTAACAGGTAAAAAAACAGCGAGGTTTGTGTATTGCAGGTGGGTGTGCTTGGGGGCGCTTTTTTTCCACGTGGCTACCCTTCTCTAAACTGCAACCCTTTTTCTGATGTCGCGCAGCTTCATCTACCCATGTTCTGTGCAGTGGAAATTGTGGCTGTTTTTTCGTCATTTACCTTCAGAAGATTTGCACCGAGCAACCGAAATTTCCCACTTTCGGCTGTAGCGGGGGGGGGGGGGGGGGGGGGGGGGGGGGGGGGGGGGGGTTCGAAGGGGAAACTGCTTCGGAACCCTCGTCATTTCCCTTCGCCCCCCCACCTCCCTCCCAAGGGAAATGCCTACAGAACGCAGCCGTTCAAATGCAACCCAAACCCTTCGAAGCTTCGTGTCAGTGGCAAACCTGACACTGGCAAGAGCGATCTGAGAAGGGGAGTGGAATGGGGTTGCGCACGCGCCGGCTTTCTCGCGGGTTTGTTATCCGCTTCATTGGTTGCGGCTCAGATTTGAGTAAGTATTAGTAGCATTCTATACCAGTTCTCCGTCTAGCCTGAGTGCACGGGTCGTTTCTGGAACCAGGATATTTCGCTGTTTCTGAAGTTCACAAAGGGAGAAGTTTGGTCTATTAAATTGAGACTCTGATCGTCATCATTTCGCCTGCGTTTGAAAATGTTGTCAAGAGTCACAACTGTGTTTCAGACTTATAAGCTATTCTCGAGGCGCTATTCTTTCTCCGTCCATAAAGCAGGTGTTTGGTAGTCGTCATGGGTAGGTTGAACGGACACGAATATAGCTCGATCAATTTTGAAACACGCACTGAGTCGACTGCGGACTCTGAGTCGCACGCACCTGAGCTCAGTTCGCAATCGTCGCATGCACTCCCAATGCCGTCGCCAATGTCGTCAGCGACGCACCTGTCGCGCGTCTCTCGTGTGTTCTCGCACATGTTGACGACTCTCGGGACGAAAACGGGAGGTAATACAAACGAGGAAAAGAGCCCTCGATTTGGGTATCACATATATTGGTCTCACGTGCTCGTTTCCATCGTGACGTTCCTCCTCGTACTCGTTATGGCCGAATTGTTACTGCCATACGTGTCTAGACCCGATGCGGGAGTCGAAAGCATCAGCATGGCGGGATTGGCGGCATCAGGGGGAGGCAGCGGAAGGCTACGCGGCGAATGGGACCCGCTTTCTCCCCTGCAACTGCGAAAGCCGCCGCTTTTCGCCAACAAAACAGACGCAACAGGGGATAACGTTATTACTAGTACAGCCGCCGCCGTTCGTGGCGATTCCGTTACTAGTGGCGATGCCGCTACTGGCGCTGCCGCCATTAGCTTTGCTTTTGGCGTTTCCGATGACAGCGTGGCGCAGACCAGACGACGGCGACGAGTATGCTGGACGTCGTCAGGAGGTGAGACCTTAAATAGCATGGGAGAAATGAGTTGCCTCGGCTGAAGAATAGGTAAAAGCTTAAATATGCGAGATTTTGAAAAGGCATGGAAAAATTCAACTGTTTGAGACGCGGCTTGAAAATGTTTGAGCCGGGATATTTGAGCCACCTCAAAGACTAGGTAAGGCTCGTTAGCATTGGAAATTTTGAGGCGCCTCGAGAAACGACAAACGAGTGTGCGGGACGTCGTCCGCGGCGCACGTCGCCTTCCTCTTTCCGCATTTCCCCCCATTTGCGCTCGCTCTCATCCATTTCCCCCTGCCCCCTCCCTTATCCTACTCATAGTACGACTCATGATGCATCACCTCCTCCCTCGGAAATTCTTTAGGCTCCTATGACTCCTCTCCTTTCTACGAAAAAGTCGAATGCTTTCATGCAAACCCCCGTTCATCCCTCCTTGCTTCTCATGTCCACATGACTCCGCAGACTACGCATCCCCGTCCCCCTCGGGAGTGGTGATCCACGGCTCAGGTTGCGCCGCGTGTCTGCGCGGGCAGCGCTGCTCCTTCCGCGTGTCCGTGCGCGCGCCCGCGCGTTGGGAGCAGGCGGTGAAGAGGGCGGTTGGGGAGAGCTGGTGGAAGCGCGACTTAGCTCTGACTTTAAGAGGCGCCTCGCTGGCCCACGGGGACATTAGGTGTCTAGACTCTCCGCACTGCACGGAGTTTAGAGTGTCGTACCGCGTGTGGGACCTCGGCGAATTCTGGTGAGTCTATTTTCGAGGCGCCTCAATCGTTTATTACTTCTCTACACTAATCGGTTGGCTCCTTCGCACCACGCCCATATCCCTGCCAACCCCTTGGCACCGCCTTTGAATCCCTCCCAACCCCTTTGCCCATTTTGGATCTGAAAACAATTGCCATCTGTCAGTTTTGAAACAGTGGGTAGGGTTTAGGGGTAGGTCTGTCACAAAGTTGCTCTGTCCAGACGAGAGGGTTTCGTGGGAGCTCCAACAATGTTGCCTTTGGCATGGGCGTCTATTTTTGTGTCGACTCAAAAATAGACTCATCACACGCCTTTGGCATGGGCGCCTTGGAACTTGCGAATGTTACAAAAACTTATATGGAGATGTTAGGGTTTCAGTTGGCATGTAGTTTGAGTGGATTGGTTCGCGATTCATAGTGCTGCTTGCGAAGATTCTGGATTCGTCTTTGAGGTTTGTTACAACAATTCTCTCTTTCCACCCAATCACTGTTCACAGTGCGAATCCCTGGCATCGGCTTCGCTCCAATCCCTTCTTTTCCTAACTCGCATTCCCCTCGTTTCCCCCCATCCTTCCCCCATGGTCCCCCGTACCTTTCCCTTGCCCCTCCATACTTTCCCCATATTCCCTCGTTCTTCCCCGTGGCTTCCCCCTGGGTTTCCCCCTCAGGGAGAGGCTCTCTATAGGGTGACGCTGCACATGGGGTGCGCCAACCTCAAATTCTCCACCTCCTTCGCTCACCACCTCAACCGCTCCCTCCCTCGCTTTGAGGTGACTTTTGAGTCGACTCAAAAGTCATTCTCCACCTCCTTCGCTCAACCGTTCCCTCCCTCGCTTCGCCTCTCTTCCCTTGCTTCCCCCACTCCCCTTCCCCCTCCCGCCCACCCTTCCCACTCCCACAGGGCAACGCTGCACGTGGGGTGCGCCAACCTCAACTTCTCCCGCCACCTTCGCTTCCCCACGCCGCCCTCCATCCCCCCCTCAATGCTCCTCCTTCTCCCATTCCCTCCCCTCTCCACCCTCCCCTCCCCCCCGCAGGACGACTTTTGACATTTCAAAAGCCATGCCGCCCTCCATCCCCCCCTCAATGCTCCTCCTTCCCCCATTCCCTCCCCTCTCCGCTCGCCCCTCCCCCCCACCCCACAGGGCGACGCTGCACGTGGGGTGCGCCAACCTCAACTTCTCCCGCTCCTACGCGCATCACTTCAACCGCACGCACCAGCACAGCCTCGCCTCCTGGCCAATCACAATCACGCCACGTGGCGAGGCGCTGGCCAGAAGCAGCGCCCCCGGCATCAGCAACAACAGCAATGTCACCAGCAGCAGCGGTGGCAGCAATGCTCGCAACACCATCACCACCAGCAGCAGCGGCGGCGGCAGCGGCGGTGGCAGCGGCGGCGGTGTCAGCGGCAGCACAGGTGACTGCAGCAGCACCACCACAGCCGCCACTCATTCAGAAGCAGCAGGCGGGAGCCAGGGGGAGGGGGAGGAGGAGGGAGCGGGCGAAGGGGATTGGGAGGCGGAGGAGGAGGAGGAGCAGGAGAAGGATCAGGATTGGCCGGATTATCCTTGCTCGGGAACGTCAGTGCCGGGGCGGTGGGTGGTGAAGGCAGATGGGTCCCTCAGGTATGTGCGTGTAGATGGGTGCGGATGGGTGTGAACGGGTGTAGATGGGTGCATTTGGGTGTAGATGGACTGTGTGTGGCCCGTGTGGGTGGGTGTGGAATGCAGGATTGCCCCGATACCAGTGCACGGCACGGCCTGTGAAATTGCAGGGTGTATTGAGAATTCTCAAAAACATACCAGTGCACCCTGCAGGATTGCCCCGATACCAGTGCACTGCACGGCCTGTGAAAATTCCCACATCCGAGTTGATAGCGCCCTTCCCCTTCACCCTCCCGTTCCCTGACCCATTGCCCTTCCCCCTCCCCCACGCCCCCAGGTGGGCTTTCTACCCGTGCACCCCCCACGAAATTTCCCCAGCTCACTGGATAGGCGCGTTAGATGGCAGGGGTATCCAGGAAATCAGCACCGTGGGAGCCGACTAAAAAATCACCAAATCAGCACCGTGCGCGGCGACAGCCACCAGCGGCATCGAGGTGACTTTTGAGTCGACTCAAAGGTTGCCCCGGCCCCCGGCTCACTGGATAGGCGCGTGCTTCTGTCTGCGCACCTTCTCTTGCTGCTCACTGCCCAGGCGGACCTTCCCCCCGTTCCGCCTCCCTGCTCCCACTCCAAACCTGGCCTCTGCACCCCCGCTCCCCCCACTCCCCTCCATCTCCCTCGGGTGGGTGTTCTACCCATGCACCCCCCCCCCCCCCCCCCCCCCCCCCCCGTGAAATCCCCCAATGGGAGTGGACAGGCGCTTCCTAGCAGTGATGAGTCGATTTTTGAGTCGACTCAAAAGTCACCTTGACTCAAAAATCGACTCATCACCCCCCGTGAAATCCCCCCATGGGATTGGACAGGCGCTTCCTAGCAGCGCACCTGGCCTTCCTGCTCACCGCACACACTCCCCCCATCCCCCCTTCCCACCATCCCCCCTTCCCCTCCAGCTGGGCTTTCTACCCATGCACCCGCTGGTTTCTGAGAATCCTCAAAAACCCCCTCCCCCAACCACCCCCACTCCTCCAGTTGGGCATTCTACCCATGCACCCCCTGCGAAATCCCCCCATCCGAGTGGATAGGCGTGTTACACGAGAGGGGCATTCGGGAGATCAGCATTGTGGGCGACAGCCACCAGCGGTTTCTAGCGGCACACCTGGCCTTCCTGCTCACGGCAAAGGCGGAAGGCAGAGTGATCCATTGGCAAGACGACCTGGTGTTGATCGCGCGTGATGACAGCAGCAGCAACCGCACGCTCAGGATCAACTTTTACTGGATTGATGGGATCTACAAAAATGGAGAATTCGGCTGCACGTGAGTGATTGAATGGGCTTCGAATGGGCTTTGAACTGGCTTCGAATGGGGTTTGAATGGGTTTGAATGGGTTTGAACGGGCTAGAACAGTCAGAGGTAGTCCCTCGGTGGGCACACACCTGGCCTTCCTGCTCACGGCACAGGCGGAAGGCAGAGTGATCCATTGGCAAGACAACCTGGTGTTGGTCGCGCATGATGACAGCAGCAGCAACCGCACGCCCTGAGGATCAACTTTTACACGCCAGTGGCTGCACTTTGCTGCTCACACGTACGTTTCATGCGAGTGGATTGATGAGACCCTATACATGGTGACTTTTGAGTCGACTCAAAAGGATTGATGAGACCCTATACATGGCAGCACGCAGCAACCGCACGCTGAGACCCTGTACTGGATTAATGGGATTTGTTGAGATCATTTTTGAGAATTCCCCTGGAAAAATCCTCCATTCTCCACGGTGATATCATTTCGATATAGCACGCTGAGGCCCTGTACTGGATTCATGGGATTTGTACAAGTGGCGAATTAAGCTGCACGTGAGTTTCTTCCAAGGCATGAATAGAATAGGTTCGAACGGGTTTGAATGGGCTCCTAGAAAAATCTTCCATTCCCCACGTTCCATAGTCCCCGCCTCCCCCCTTCCTTCCCACGCCCCTACCCCCTTCTCCCCCTAAAGTCTAGGCATCACCACAGATTTGCCTCATCTCCTGCACCCTCCCCCCCAACCCCTCTCTCCTCCCCTCCACCGCATTCCACCCCCCCAAACCCCCTCCTCCTCGTCCTCTCCCTCCCCTCCAGCCATCGGGGCCGGACCACCAACCGATCTGAGGAATTCCCTCAAGTCTCTTCTCCCCCACTGCTTTTGAGGTGCCTCAAAAGTCCTTTGTCCCCCTCACCTCTTCCCCCCTCTCTTCCCCCAACCCCCTCTCCCTCTTCCTCCCCCTCCCCTCCAGCCATCGGGGCCAGACCACCAACAGATCGGAGGAATTCCCTGAGATCTCCCCCACGGCTGACGTCACACTGTTTGAAGGAGGCTACTGGGCAGCTTCCTTCTGCCGCCAGCCCCTCAAGGCGCTCCGAGTGCACCTCGAGGAGTTTGCTCGCTGGGCGCTTGCCACCGCGCCCGCTAAAGGCCGGGTTATTTTCCGAACTATCCCGTCTTTTCCGGTGGCTGGGGAGTGGTGCCAGTCGTGCTATCCCGGGCCACGTTCGAACCGGGTGGTTATGGCGATCAATGCACTGTTGAAGCAGATAGTGCAAGGAGGGATAGAGAAGCTGGTCTATCTTGATTCTAGCTTGCAGGTCTTACCCGAAGACTCTGAGGAGGAGGGAGGAAACGCAGAAAGAGCATCACCATCACCATCACCATCACCATCACCATCACCATCACCACCACCACCATCATCATCAGCTGAATCCGCTGAGCTAGCAGCGTTACCTGCAGGGGCAGCAACAGTGCTGGACACGTGGCAGGTGGACGGGCCTCGGTATGCCGACACAGCAGTCCCCAACGACCACCATTACTCCGTGGTGCAGCTCACAAACCAAGGTGCAGTGGTGACGGGGGACGTGGGAGAGGCGCAAGTGCGGGTCTTCATTCATTACCTGCTTCACCTGCTGCCCCCACTCCGTGGCACTGCTCCATAGCTGTTTGCCTGCCCTGCTCCGCGCTGCTCTGCCCTGCCCTACTCAACCAACAGCCACCGTTACGCCAGGGAGCGGCACACAGCAGAAGGACGGGCAAGGGGGGGAAGCCCAGCCCAGGTGGACGGGTTTTGAGGCGCCTCAATAGGCTCTGCTCTCCTCAACCAACGACCACCGTCACTCCAGGTCCAGGGTGTGGTTCACAGCAGAAGGAGGGGCAAGTGGGAGAAACCCAGGTGGACAGGCCTCGGTATGCCGACACAGCAGTCCCCAACGACCACCATTACTCCGTGGTGAAGCTCACAGACCAAGGTGCAGTGGTGACGGGGGATGTGGGAGAGGTGCAGGTACGGGCCTTCATTCACTACCTGCTTCATGGGCTCCCCCCACTCCACCCATGAGCTATATAGCTGCCCCCACTCCACCCAAGAGCTATATAGCCGCCCGCCGCTCTTCTCCTCTGTCCATACGCCCCTCGGAGTGCCGAGCTGACACAGCAGTCCTTAACGACCGCCAGGATGTCATGATGGGATATTTCTGAGGTGCCTCAAAGTCAACAAATACCAGTAATGCATGCTGGAATACCCAGCAGCAGGTGTGGGTGGGGATGGTGGAGGTCCGAGGCGAGGAGGTAGGCTGGGGTGGGGTACGAGCTCCTTGCTGTCCACTAGTCCATTGAGTCGACTCAAAAGCAGACTCTTTGCTGTCCACTAGTCCATTGAGTCGACTCAAAAGCAGACTCTTTGCTGTCCACTAGTCCATTGCTGGCATCTTTCACTCTCTCCTCCCCAGCAAGTGTGGTGATGGTGGAAGAGACGCTGCGGCGGGTGCTCTGCTCTGCTCTGCTCCGTTCTCCTTTTGAGGCGCCTCAAAACAAGTGTGGTGATGGTGGAAGAGGTACGCTGCGGCAGGTGCTCTGCTCTGCTCTTCTATCCTCTCCTCTCGAGGGACTTAAGCCGCCTCAAAATTCAATCGAGGTCAAAATCACATAATACACTAACATTTACAACCTCCAAAAGCATTCGACAATGCAGCTAGCAGTATTTACTGGTATGTCTCTAAAGTGTAGCGCCCTAACCATCGTTATTGTATGCCTTACACTCAAGTGTAGCATCCTAACCATCATCATTGTATGTCCCTAGCACCCCCACCGTCTTTATTGTATGCCCCTCAAGTGTAGCACCCTAACCATCATTATTGTATGCCCCTCAAGTGTAGCACCCTAAACTATGCAGTGGCCTTGGCAGATCTGCTCGCTGAAAGCCTTACTGCAGTGCCCAATGTAACCAGATGACATCACATGAATGTCCAATGAACATGCATGTTTATTGAAACTCTGCTGCATCATACTCCCAACGACAACCGAGGAGTGGTGGTGCTGGTCATGGTGAGGAGGAGCGAGGATGAGAAGAGCAGTGTGGCAGGTGTGCACGCAGCGCAACACCGCACAGAACCACACAGCACAGCCTTAGACCGAATGGGTTGGAGGGAATCCAACTGGACGCGCAGAGCAGTATTCTAGCGTGGAGTGGAGGGAGCAGGTGCAGCAGGTGCAGCAGGTGATGAATCATTCGAGGCGCCTCAAGGCAGAGCAGTGTTCTAGCATGGACGGAAGGAGCGGTGATTATCATCATCATCTTCTGCATGAAGGGAAGGAGCGGTGCACAAGGTGATGAATCTTCCCGCAGTTGCTCTTCCCCCACCTCCCCCCCACCATTACCGTGCCTTCTCCTGTTGGCCGCACCATGTTACCCTGAACCCCAGAATTCACTATCTACACGTGCAGAGCAACAGGGCATGGAGCTAGAATGCACTGATGAAGGCTCGAATGTCCCAAGCAGGGAATGGAGCTAGAATGCACTCGCATGACTTTTGAGGCGCCTCAAAAGTCGTCTAGAATGCACTCGCATGGAGTGGGGGAAGCACATGAAGCAGGTAGTGAATGAAGGCGCGCATACCGAGGGGCATCCACCTGCCCTTCCTCCCTCCCTCCCTCCTTCCATCTCTCCTTTTCTCCGTCTCTCCCTCCCTCCCTCCTTCCATCTCTCCCTTTCTCCGTCTCTCCCTCCCTCCCTCCTTCCATCTCTCCCTTTCTCCGTCTCTCCCCCTCCTTCCACCTCTCCCTTTCTCCGTCTCTCCCTCCCTCCCTCCCTCCCTCCCTCCCTCCATCTCTCCCTTCCTCCCTCGCTTCCTCCTTCCCTCCCTCCCCCCTTCGTCTCCCTCCTTCTCCGTCTCTCCCTCCCTCCACGAGGCAAGCAGCTAGAGTGCACTAGCATGAACAGGGGGCAGCAGGTGCAGCAAGTAGTGAATGAAGGCGCGCACTTGAGCCTCCCCCACCTCCCCGACCACAACTGTGCCTCCGTCTGTGGGTTGCACCATGGAGTAATGATGGTCGTTGGGCACTGCTGTGTCCGCATACCGAGGTGCGTCCACCTGCCACGTGTCCAGCACTGTTGCTGCCCCTGCAGGCAATGCTGCCAGCTCAGCAGATGGCGCTTCTGCGGCTGCTCGTGGTGATGGTGGTGGTGGCCGCTTTTCTGAGTAGGACTTACCACCACCACTAACACCATCACCAGCACCATCACCATCACCAGCACCAGCACCAGCACCAGCACCAGCACCAGCACCAGCACCAGCACCAGCACCAGCACCAGCACCAGCACCATCACCAGCACCAGCACCAGCACCAGCACCAGCACCAGCACCATCACCAGCACCAGCACCAGCACCAGCACCAGCACCAGCACCAGCACCAGCACCAGCACCAGCACCATCACCAGCACCACCGTCAGCACCACCAGCTGCAGCAATCTCGTCCGCCTCTTCAATATCCGTCGCAGCTCCTTTGCTCTCCGCTGCTCCGTTGCTCTCCGCTGCTCCGTTGCTCTCTGCTTCTCCGTTGCTATCTGCTCCTGCTCTCTCCGCGTTTTCCACCTCTTCTTCAGAGTCCCGCGGTAGCACCTGCAGGCTCGAATCAAGATACACCAGCTTTTCTATCCCTCCTCCACTTCTCCTTCCTTCCCCACCAACATCTCGACCTCGTATCCCTCCTCGCCACCATGCCCCTAATCTCTCAACAACATTCCCCGCCTCCCCCACTCCTCTCTGTTCTCCCTCCACGCCTCTCCCCTGCACTATCTGCTTCAGCAAAACATTAATCGCCATAACCACCCGGTTCGAACTCGGCCCGGGATACCACGCGTTACACCGGTCCCCCGCCACCGGAAAAGATGGGATAGTTCGGAAAATAACCCGGCCTTTAGCGGGCGCGGCGGCAAGCGCCCAGCGGGCAAACTCCTCGAGGTGCACTCGGAGCGCCTTGAGGGGCTGGCGGCAGAAGGAAGCTGCCCAGTAGCCTCCTTCAAACAGCGTGACGTCAGCCGTGGGGGAGATCTCAGGGAATTCCTCCGATCGGTTGGTGGTGACTCCCCGATGGCTGGGGGGGAGGGGGAGGGGGATTGGAGGGGGGATTGGAGGAAGGAATGGAGGGGGGTTTGGAGGAGAAAGTTGAGGGTGGAATAGGAGGGTTGGCGGAGCAGGAGGGGAATTGCTGAAATCCGTTGGTTGATACCCCGATGGCTGGAGGAGTGTTGGAGGGGATTGGGGTGTGGGATAAAGATAAAGTGGAGGGGAGGGGAGGGGAGGGGGTTGGGGGTGACAAAGGGCCAATGGGTGGTGATGCCTAGATTCTTGGGAAGAACAGGGGGACCACGGGGAAGGAAGGGGAGAGGCGGGGACTAAGGAATGTGGAAAAGGGAAGGTTTCTTATGGAACCCATTCAAACCGATTTAACCCCATTCGAAGCCCATTCAATCACTCACGTGCATCCGAATTCTCCGTTTTTGTAGATCCCATCGATCCAGTAAAAGTTGATTCGGAGAGTGCGGTTGCTGCTATCGCGCGCATCAAACACCAGATTATCCTGCCACCGCTTCACATCCTTGTCCGCCTGAGCCGTGAGCAGGAAGTGCAGGTGCGCAGCTAGAAACCGCTGGTGGCTGTCCCCCACTATGCTGATCTCCCGAATGCCCCTCTCGTGCAACGCGGCAATCCACTCGGATGGGGGAACCTCCGGGGCTGTGCAGCGGTAGAAAGCCCACCTATGGGAGCGGGCGAGTGGGGGAGGGGGAGGGGCATGGGGAGGGGGAGGGGCATGGGGAGGGGGAAGGGCATGGAGAGGGGGAGGGGCATGGAGAGGGGGAGGGGCGTGGGGAGGGGGAGGGGCATTGGGAGGGGGATGGGCATGGGGAGGGGGAGGGGGAAAGTGCTGGTGACTGTCCCCCACAATGCAGATCTCCCGAATGCCCCTCTCGTTGAGAACTTCTGTTCAGCTGGAATGGGGAGCCGCAGGGACCGTTTACTGGTAGAAAGCCCTCCTGATACACGCACCCATATGCAACCATCCTCACCCATCTGAACCCATCCTCACCCATCTGCACCCAGCCTCACCCATTTATACATACCTGAGTGACCTATCTGCCTTCACCACCCATCGCCCCGCACTCACACACACACCTGAGTGACGTCCCATTGCATAGAGTGTCCAGCCAATCCTGCACCCCACACATACACACGCTTCACCCATCTGCACCCATCTACGCCCATCTGCACCCATCTGCACCCAGCCTCACCCATTTACACATACCTGAGTGACCCATTCGCCTTCACCACCCATCTTCCCGGCACAGACGTCCCATTGCACGGAGTGTCCGGCCAATCCTGCACCCCCTCATGCTCCTCCTCCCTCTCCCCCAACCCCTCCCCCTCCCCCGCATCCGTCCCCCCACTTTCCCCGCCTGTTGCTTCTGGGTACGCGGCGGTTGTGGTGGTTCTGGGCAGCGCTTCGCCTCGTGGCGTGATTGTGATTGGCCAGGAGGCAAGGCTGTGCTGGTGCGTGCGGTTGAAATGATGTCCAAAGGAGGCGGAAAAGTTGAGATTGGCGCACCCCACGTGCAACGTTGCCCTGCGGGATGGGGGGGAGGTAGGGGGAGTGGGGGAAGCAAGGGAGGCTGCTGTGCTGGTGCGTGCTCAAAGGAGGCAGAGAAGTCGAGATTGGCGCACCCACGTGGAGCGTCGCCCTGGGGAGGAGGAGGATTGGGGAAATATGGGGGACGCATGGGGGAAGCAGGGGGAAGTAAAGGGGGAAAGAATGGGGGCGACAAAAAGAGACGCAAGCGAGGGAGGAAGGCGGTGGGTGCAAAACGGATGTTGGGAATCTACACGAGGGGCTAAGGGGTTGTGAGAGATTTGAGGGGCGCAGAGGAAACAACAACAGCTGAGAAGATTGCTGAGGAGTGGATTAACTACTTCACTTCTTGGCGCTTCGAAATTAGGCTCACCAGTAATTGCCGAGGTCCCAGACGCGGTACGACACTCTAAATTCCGTGCAGTGCGGAGGGTCTAGACACCTAATGTCCCCGTGAGCTAGCGCGATGCCTCTTAAAGTCAGAGCTAAGTCGCGCTTCCACCAGCTCTCCTTGTCCGCCTCCAGCACGTGCGCCCATCGCGCGGGCGCGCGCACGGACACGCGGAAGGAGCAGCGCTGCCCGCGCAGACACGTGGCGCAACCTGAGCCGTGTATCACCACTCCCGAGGGGGAAGGTGAGGAATAGTCTGCGAAAAAATAAGCAGATGAGAAGCAAGGGAGGGGGAAGGCGGGTTGCATGAGAGCATTTTTCTTGGCGCCTATTTTTTTTTCCGAGAAAGTGAATTTAGCGTCGCTGCACTGAACGTCGGCCGCACACCTATCTCGTATGCGATACGCGTAAAGCGGAAGGGGATGATCGCACATGACGTCCAGCATCGTCGTCGTTCGTTTAAGACCTTTTTTTTTAAGACGTCTCACAACTCATCGTTCCCATGCTATTGGACCTTACCTCTTTATGAGGCGCCTGGAAAATACGCAGCTCATATTTTCCATGCTATTCAAAATCTTACCTCCTGACGACGTCCAGCATACTCGTCGTCGCCTCAGCCGCGGTGCCACGCTGCCATCGGAAACGCCGGAAGCAACGCTAGTGGCGGTATCGTCAATCGTTGCAAGTGCACTGCTTTGGAGCACGGGGTCACTGCGAGGAGGTTGAGGGGAGGTTGGGGGAAAAGTGCGGGGAGGTTGCGCGCGTGGAGATCGGGGGCAAGGGAGGGGAGCATGAGGATGAGTGAACAAGAAGAAAGAGTACGGAGCAGAGACTCAGGGACTATCGTCTTCAATCAGCTTGACAAGGCACCTCGAGCAGCCAAATCACACGAGTAAGACGGACGATCCGAAAAAAGGAAAGAAGAAAAAAAAAAAACAGGGAACCTGAAGGCTGGGTTGGGTCTTACACGCGTAGCTGCTAAGCACGTACTTGAATGGGCTCACGGCGGTATCTCCAGTTTCGTCTGAAGCGTGGGCGACGAGCAGCGACTTTCGCAGCTGCATGGGAAAAAGAGGGCTCCATTCGCCGCGTAGCCTTCCGCTCGCTCCCGCATCGGAATTGGTGACCCATGGCGGTAACGATTCGGCAATAACGAGTACGAGGAGGCACAGATTGACGGAAACGAGCACGTAATGAAACCAATCCATAGAATAGACCGATCGATGGCTCCTCTCCTCGTTTGTAGACCCTCCCGGTTTAATTCCGAGAGCTGTCAACATGTGCGAAAATACATGAGAGACGCGCGACAGGGGTGTCGCTGACGACGTTGGCGAGGGCACGGGTAGTGCATGCGACGTTCGCGAATTGAGCTGAGATGCGTGCGACACAGAGTCCGCAATGGAACTGCGAGTTTCTAGACCGATCGAGTGATACCCGTGTCCGTTTAACCTACCCATCACTCCTACCAGGCACCTCTTTAGAATAGAGAAAGAATAGCGCCTCGAGAATCAAGAAACAAGTATTAGGTCTGAGGCTAACAAAACAATCTTCTCCCTTTGCGAGGTTCAGGAGCGACGAGTTCCTTGAATCCTATTTTTTTCTCATGCATAACTGGCAAGGAAGGCAAATGATAGTAGATTAGTAGAGCTCGTATGGAGCTGATAAGGAAAACTCTCGAGACGGTAGGTGGACATGTTCTGCCTTCAAACAATAATGCACCTATCCCTCAGAAAGCTTTCTCCTAGGTGGAATCTCTCGGACAAGCTCTCCATTAGGGGGGACGGGTTGAACGTCTGCCCTCGATTTTTGCAGCTCTTCGAGAGATCCAACATCGACGCGCCGCTCAATTATCGAAACGCTAACAATATGGCGATAGCGCAAATCTTCACCGTCAAAACTGACTAGTTCTGTTGGAGTAGTTACAATTCAAGGGTGAGGATGACCTGACGACCTGGCTGGAATCTCGAGGAACCAAGTTCAAGGAATGCAGAGGAGTCTTGATTCGTCGGCTTGAAAAACAGCGCGGGCAGAACCAGTGAAACTATGTGAAACATCTTGTCGGAAAAAACCGTTTTATTTTTGCCGTACACTTGCCTCGGGAGCCGTTCCTTGGTGCGATACCGGATCGGTACCAGAAATGCATTTCTCGGGCACATTGTTGACGTGCCCAGAGGCTGGCCTGGTTGGGACTTTTGCCAAGGCTTGCTTCTCACCACCTACCACGCGTCGCTATTGGTTGACCTGGCCCCTGCTGGTCCGGTAAACCAAACCTACTCACCAGCTTCGTTTTGGCAGAATGGATGCTAGACACAGTAACGTGCTACCGTCAAAACGGAGGACGTGATTCGTGATGTTGCCGCTGCGATCAACACGGCAGCCACCAAGTCTGAGACGGCGCCTTCCACGGGCTAACGAACTTGCGAAGCGAGTAGGCATTTACGAAGCGTCTGATTTCGCGAGAGGTACGTGTTACAAGTTCCAACCCTAAGATAGTCTTAACGTCAGTGTAGACTCGCCAAACTGGTATTTGTTTGTTTCTAGCCCCAAGAAGGCCCAAATTGCCTCAACCTTCCTAACCTTGGTTGAGTTAGGGCGCGTGTGGTCTTACAAATTTGTGAAAGTTTATGTTTTTAGGTCGAATGTAGCATTTGAGCAAAACTCGACTTTCTTTCAAGCGAAGTTAGAATCTTGGGTCTCCAACACAGACGAGTCACAATCACACACCCAAGGTCGAACACAGAGATTTGACCTTTTAGGGATGGCGGCGAGCCGCCCGTAGGGAAGTAGGTTACCTGGTACAGCGCGACACGTTAACGTGATGCGCAACGAAACTCAACAACCTTCGCAAAGTGGTCGCGATTTTCGGATGACCTTCGTACGTGCTGAAAACAACACACACTCGCCTCACGTGCACCCGCACGTTCACTCGTGTGATTCGAGTTGAGTTCACATTTGACATTCGAACTTATGTGCCCCAAAATTCTCATGCCTTCGCCAAAGCTTCCTGACGACATTAGCGAAGCTGCTAACCACACAAAGTTCGACCTTTTTTCCTAACTTGAAAATAGATCACCGCGCCCTTAGGCCCTCGCACCCAAAATCTTGGCCACTTGTGTTGCTCGCTCCAACCAAGCTTCCTAAGGTTGAAGTTCTTGGCCCGCGGGTTTTAATACCATGTCTGGACCTGTATGACAGATTGGTCCATCCATACAGAACCACATTGCACATAAAACCACATTGCAGAACTAGCACAACAGTTGGTTACAAATAGGGGATCACACACAACCCTTGTGCACGACTATGTCCCTTTGACCATAGCTGAAAGATTAATAGTGAAGGCCTTATGATGACACAATAAGATCCCTTGCAGTATTATTGTGCAGGCCTTGTCTGGCCTGCGCACAAAGGAACACTGCACAGCTTTTTGGGCTGAACGAGGAGCATTCTTTTTGCCACCTTCAAGGGAGATAGGCCCAAAACACACCAGCGCTGTGACCGCAGATGCCACTCCCTCTGAGCCCTCTCCTCCTGCAACCACTCCCAGTCACCATCCCACTCATCCTCACCATTCCAACCCTCCTCCCCTACTCTCTTTTCACCTTCTGATTCCAACCCCACTCCCCTTTCCACCAATGGCACGTCTCCACCTGTCCTCTGGTGCGACTCGTGTATATCCTGCAAAGTCTCTAGGTTGTCATGATATTCTAACTCAGAGGCTCCTCCTTTACTGTACGTATCGCAATCCAACCCGACACCAGCTTTTGTTGCGACCATTCTTCGTAACACCGGTCTAGCTCTTATCTGCAGTCCATCTATGGACAAAAGCGAGTCGGGCAGACGCTGCAAGCTGTCGCATCCATCCAGGTCTAGCAGTCGAAGATTCATCAGCTGCCCGAGATTCTCGGGCAGCCGCACCAAACGAAAGCAATCAGTCAAGAGGATCTGCTCCAGGCTGCTGAGCCGGCAGAGGAACTCTGGCAGTGCGGAAAGAGCAGCAGAACCAGACAAATTCAGCAGCTTCAGTGACATCAGCTGTGTGATGCCCACAGGAAGGGATGAGAGATGATGGCAGCTGGTGACCGCCAGGCATTCGAGTGACTTCAGCGCGAACAGGGCGAAAGGCAGAGCGCGGAGAAGCGGCCAATGGGACAGCTCCAGGTGTTTCAGAGAAGACAGCTGTCCCATGGATTCGGGCAGGTGGGCTAGACAGGAAATGGAGGAGATCTTGAGGGTGCGGAGGCTCGGCAGCTGCCCGAAATCCGCGGGAATTGAAGCGAAACTCTTGCAGAAGCAAACCTCAAGAGACTGGAGGCTGATGAGGTGGATAAACGAGGGCGGGAGGCCAATCAGCGACTCGCACGTGTTAATCTCCAGCGACTCGAGCCGGCTAAGGAAACCCATATCATCAGGGAGGCTGACAATTCGCGGGCAGTCTCTAATACTCAGCAGCTGGAGCCGCGTTAGTTGATAGACCGAGGAGGGTAACTCAGTTAGCCGTTTGCATCCATGGAGTCGCAACGCTTCAAGATTCGGCAGCTGCCCGAGAGATTCGGGCAACGTCTCTAGACTAAACACGCTGTGCAGCTGCAGGGACCGTAAGGATGAAAGCTGCCCGAGATTCGCGGGCAGCCGGCTGATTCGCATGCAGTAAGTGATGGAGAGAGAGGAGAGCGCGGGCAGGTTGCACAAAGAATCGGGCAGCTGCGCAAGCCCGCAGTCAGTCACGTGCAGCCGCGTCAGCCGTGAAAGCTGCCCGAGAGTCTCGGGCAGCAATCGCAACGCGCTGCAGCCAATCTGAAGATCGCGCAGGTTCGTCAGCTCCCCCAGGCTATCTGGCAGCGCGGTCAGGCTCGGAGCCTGCAGCTTTGGAAACTGGAGGCTCGGCGGCGCGCTGGCGTCGTTCGGAATGCTCCATTTGTAAACCGAATCGGCATCCAACGGTCCCCCGCTGATCCGCGCGAGCTCGAGAAATGACGCTGGTCGAAGGGAGAGATTCGGCGCGCAGTGCAGACCGAATTCTTCTAACTGCGGGCAGGCCCGAAAAAGTCTATCCAAACCCCCTTCGGTGATTTCGGAGTAGGTAGCTGCTTCTGTCGTCGACTCTTCCGCTTCTCCCGCCGCTTCTCCCGCTTCTAGCCGTCCTGGGAGTTCTTGTCCTTCTTGCACGACACGCTCACGCGGTGCTGCCTGAGTGTCGTACACATGGCGGCGGTTGAAGGCGCCTTGCATTGTTAAGGGACGCACCGTTCCGAAGCGGAAAGAAATGAGAGTCGCTCCGCATGACGCGGCGATTCCGTCGAGGAGATCGTCGTCCACTCTGTCGACGCTGCAGTTGGGGAGATGAACGCGCGAAAGGTTGCGAAACTGCGCGATGGCGTTCGCGAGCTCTCGGGAGGACGCTTCGCGGGTTTCGCGAATGCAGAGGGCGGTTTGAGCGGGACGCGCGATTTCGAGCCATCGCTTACAAGTAACCGCGTGGGAGAAGGTGTCGCCGTGCGATCCTATGCGACCAAAGATCATGCGGAGGATGTCGTCTGGGAGACGCGGTAATGGTCGAAAAGGATCGTCAGTCGACATGGTGACGACGATTGCACGATTATCTAGCAGCAGATAGATGAACCAGGAAGAGTGAGCGCGACTGTTGTCTACGTTATCGAGCGACGAAACAAAATTATGGGGCGAGCAGGGAGTACAAATGGAAGGGAAGGAGTAAGTGTCGAAGAGTTTTCCTTCTCAATTTCATGGATTACTCTGCTCACCCTGTGCTTCACATATCTCACTCATGTGCTGCTGCTGTGCTGCGATAATCAAACGGTCATTATCTCCGATACTCAGATTTTGCCTGAGCGCGTTCTCAGGTGTAATCACCAACAGAATCACGGTTTCTCGATATAGTGGGAAGCCTTGCATGTTTGTATACAGTCACTCAATAGAAATGATTCCAGTGCTTGCAAAAAATATAAAACCCGTAGCTAACCTAGATGATTTCTGGGAAGGATCAACCCTAAATACCGAAAGCCGCCCAATATTTTGGAAAACATATTGCAACCCACTTGACAAAAAAAAATAAAACCCAATCGGAAAGGAATGCGACTCGGGAGGCATCAGCCCTAAAAACAATGCCCATTCCCGTATTTAGGGTTGACCTCTCTCGAAAATGCATCCAGGTTCCCTACGGGTTTTATTGTTTTCTGCCATGCCCGAATAGTTCTCGGTAGCGTCGTCGAGTGCTTTCGGTAGCGTTGTTTAGCGGTCGGTTGCGCTACCGAGCACTACCAAGTGAATTATATGGGCTTCATTCACTTACTACCTAAATTTTCGTACTTATATCCAAGTCGGGAGGGTAAACTGGATGGTTCTGTTTTTGTCACTTCCTAATGAGTTCGACCAGCGTGAGAAATATGACTATAAATCGATAACCAATCAACACTGAAAAAGTGCAGGTTGATTACACCTGAGAACATGCTCAGGAAAAATCTGAGTATCGGAGATAATGGCCGATAATCAAATGGGGTGCTTTATTTGTTGGGTGCAGGGAGGGATAGGGAGGTACAAGATGCACGCGCCGCGTGCAATGTTCTCCGATGAACTGTAGTTGTACAAATGGACTGCTGATATGTCTTGTAGCTGATGGTTACAGCAATTGTAAACCGTTAGATTGGTTTTCTTGACAGTTCAGATCACACGGCACTCCCTTGGCCTTTGAATCCCAGGCCCACCCCAGCAAAATGGCAACTGCCGTACACCCACCGCCACGTCAAGCAAACTGCCAAACCTCGGCTGTCCTTGCTTGAGCGATGCGATGCGACAGAATACGAACAGTCCCATGGCAACATCTTTGCTGCAATCTTGAGTAGGACTGGCTCGCCATGTCGCAAGCTGGAGAACAAAGTCGCCGAGTCGCCAGAGGCAACATGCGACAGCTTGCCTAGGAATGATTTTTTTGTTGACGCCTCTATAACGAGGGCCAATTACAGAATCACTCGCGACTCGTACGGGCCTTGGATATTTGGTTGGCAAGCTATTGGCAGTACTGCAATGTGCATGCTACCCTTCCAACATAACGACTTGTTTTGTTATACACTTGCACTTCTCTAAACGCGGCTTGCAATCAAGCACCACCCAATTGCAAATGCTTACAGTCACACTGATAGAGGAACATTCGTAGCGATAACTTCCGAAAAGCGATTAAGCAAGCTCGTGATCATAAACGAAGCATATTTATAGCAGTACATCTCGTAGCTACAGTATATTTTAACGAGTCGTCGTACGGCGAGAAATACGTAGACATGGAATCCTTGCACGCAATACCTTGAAGGGTTTTTGGTTGCTTCATCCATGCCCTCCCGCACAACCCCCGGTGGGTACCAGCTGGAATCTCGACAGTAAGGTCTAGAGAGACTAGAGGCAGCGATTCCTAGTTTCTAGACAGTCTGTTGACTTGAAGACCCAACGGCTGTGCTTCTCGTCTCATAACTCCTCGCGTATTCACCAGACGCGCAATCTATAGAGGAAAGCTATCCTAGACCTTACGTGTCCGTAGCGCGGTTCTGATGGTGTCAATGGAGCCGGACGTTTCCGCGCCGGCCGGCATGTTTACAGTCCAGCAAACGCCGTCCACCGTGCTGTGCTGCCTGTGCGGCACGGCCATGCCGCCCAACCCGACCGGCATGTGCCCCGGCTGCATTCGCACGCACGTCGACATCACCGAAGGCCTTCCGCGCCGCCTCTCGGTGCTGCGCTGCCCGCCGCCGTGCGGAAGGTTCCTCGCGCCGCCGCGCGCGTGGATCCGCGCGGAGCTTGAGTCGAAGGAACTCCTCACGTTCTGCCTCAAGGTGTGTGCCCTGCTTACTACTTACTAAGGATACCCACCGGCAAATCTGCGTCCTGCCGTCCCACAGGAGGCTTCGCTTTCTCGTGGCGCGCCGTTTCGTGGTTGCGCTCGTGAATTCGCTTTTCGCATGGATGTGGATGGATTTGTTCAAGAGCTCTCCCCGCAGATGGATGTGCATCCGCGTTGGTCGTCAATGGATTCGCCAACGCGATGAGTTGCTCATACAAGCGAGCTTCCTTGCACTCCTGCACTCAGCCCTTTCGCCGTTATTGCGTTTCCCCTGTTCTTACTGTCTTCGGATTAAACCCCGATGTTAAACCCTGATTTGTTCTTGGCGCATTGTCGCCCAATCGCGTATCCACTTCCGCGTGCCGCACGCGCACGGGGCTATGCAAGGGCAGTCGAATTCCCTAAACGTGTTTACCTGCCGAAACCCCTTCAAAACCCTGCGTTGCCCTTTCTGAACGAACCAAGGTTCTACTGACGTTATTGTTGTAATAGCGCATGAAGTATGTTAGCAAGGCGAATCTGGTGGACACGTCCACTTGCCCGAAACAGCCTTGCAAAACCCCTTTGTTCCCTTGCTCCCTCCCTCCCACTGCACGCATGTGCATGTGTTACCGTGTTACCGTGTGTGTTACTGTAACAGCGCATGAAGAACCTGAACAAGGTGAAGCTGGTGGACGCCTCTTTCATCTGGACCGAGCCATTTCTCTCCCCCCCCCCCCCCCCCCCCCCCCCCCCCCCTGACTGCGTATTGTGTGTGTGTGTTACTATGTCACCCGGTAACCCGGCTGCAACAACAGCGCATGAAGAACCTGAACAAGGTGAAGCTGGTGGACGCCTCTTTCATCTGGACCGAGCCCATTCTCTCCCTCCCTTTCCCCCCCCTGACTGCGTACCGTGTGTGTGTGTTACCATGTTACCCTGCTACAACAACAGCGCATGAAGAATCTCAACAAGGTGAAGCTGGTGGACGCCTCCTTTATCTGGACCGAGCCGCATTCCAAGAGAATCAAAATCAAGGTACGACTTTCGCCTGTTGAATCTCTAGTCTCGACTGTTTTGTGACGTCTCAAAACACTCCTTTTTTCACGTGGCTCTAGTCTCGACTGTTGCTTTCGAGGCGCCTCAAAAGCTGGTTTGCTCATCTGGACCGAGCCGCACTCTAAGCGAATCAAAATGAAGGGCTTTGATCCTTTGCCTCCCTCCCAGGTGACACTACAGAAAGAGGTCCTCAGTGGTTCGGTTCTTCAATAGACGTCTGTGACGGAGTGTGTGGTGGAGGATCACATGTGTGATGTGATGCGTGCACGCGGTCGACCCTAACTTTCAATACCCTCATGTACCTTAAACCCAGCCCTTCTTGTTACCAGGTGACAATACAGAAAGAGGTCCTCAGTGGTTCGGTTCTTCAATAGACGTTTGTGACGCATGTATGCCATGCCATATACTCTGTCCCCACAGACAGAGGATGTGGTGGAGGATCACATGTGTGATGCGTGCACGCGGTCAGCAGCAGCAGCAGCTGCTGCTGCTCCCAAGCCCTGAGCCTGAATTCTACTATCATGTGAACCCTGTGCTTTTCCCAGGTGACGATACATAAGGAGGTGCTATCTGGCGCGGTGCTGCAGCAGACGTTCGTGACGGAGTACGTGGTGGAGGACCACATGTGTGACGCGAGCAGACGCGGTCGGCTGCCACTCCCATCCCCTGAACCCATCTGTTATTCTTTCAGGTGACAATACAGAAGGAAGTTCTCAGTGGCGCGGTGCTGCAGCAGACGTTCGTGACGGAGTACGTGGTGGAGGATCACATGTGTGACGCGTGCACGCGGTCAGCTGCCAATCCCGACCAGTGGGTGGCGGTGGTGCAACTGCGGCAGAAGGCAGAGCACAAGCGCACGTTTCTGTTTTTGGAGCAGCTTATATTGAAGCATGGGGCTGACGCCAACACCATCAACATCCGCCAGGTGGGCGTTCGTTCTGACTTTGTCAACACTGTTAGCAGGTGGGGCTTTAGGGGCTGTCGAAAGAGAACAGGTGGGCTGCGGAGGCCTTATTTCCATCAACCCTTATTTCCATCCGACAGGTGGGCGTTCTGGCTTTGCCAACACTGTTAACAGGTGGGGCTTTATGGGAAGGATAGGGACAATCGGAAGTCAGACGACTTTTGAGTCGACTCAAAAGTCTTCTGACTTTGCCAACACTGTTAACAGGTGGGTGGGGCTTTAAGAGAAGGGATAGCGACGATCGGATCGGAAGTCAATGCCCTCATCAGCAATGGTGGTGCCTGCCAGATCAGTGCCAGCTCAGCACCGGCGAGGATTTAGGAGAAGGACGGATGATTGTGGAGAAGGGACGAATCGTCGTAACGCTCGCACTGCCCTTGGATTCCTTCTAAGACTCGCGCTATGGATGCTTCTGATTCACTCCTTTCCCCCCTCCCAGGTGCACGAGTTTTGAGACGACGTCTCAAAACTCTGATTCACTCCTTTCCCCCCTCCCAGGTACACGACGGCATTGATTTCTACTATGCTAACTGCTCGCTGTAAGTTAACATTAGTAAACGCCAGTCAACACCCGCTTCTGTCCAACCGGCCCTCCCCCTCTTCCCCCCCTTCCCCCCCCCCCCCCCCCCCCCGCCTCGCCTCCCCTCCCAGGTGCACGACGGCATTGACTTTTACTATGCTAACCGCTCGCGTAAAGTCAGTATTAGTCAACCCCTACCCCTACCCCTACCCCTATCCCTTCCCTCCCAGGTGCAGGACGGCATTGACTTCGACTACGCCAACCGCTCGCACGCGCGGAGTCAACATTAGTCAGTGGTGGTCAACGCCAGTCAACACTCGGTTCTGATCCACCCTATCCCATTTCAGGTGCACGACGGCATTGACTTTTACTACGCCAACCGCTCGCACGCGCAGAAGTTTGTTGACTTTGTGTCAGCCGTGGTGCCAGCTCAGCACCGCAGCGACAAGCAGCTGGTGTCTCATGACATCCACACGGCCTCGTACAACTACAAGTGAGTCGTGAGAAGGCTTATAACGAGTACACGTTGGTATTATAGCGAGTACAAGCCTGAAAGTCTGGCCCTCCCCCAGCTCAGCACCAGAGTGACAAGCAGCTGGTGTCATGTGACATCCACACAGCCCACTACAACTACAAGTGAGTGCGCTATAACGAGTACACGTGGGTGTTATACCTAGTGCACGCAGCTCAGCTCAACTACAAGCGAGTGAAGAGATGGCTAATAACGAGTACAACTAGGTTCATAGTGGTTGTAAGTAGGAGTGTGCAGCTGGGGTCTCATGACATCCACACGGCTTCGTACAACTACAAGTGAGTACTGCTGAAGGCTTATAACGGGTATGAGTAGACGTGAGCAGCTGTTAACACTCGGCATCCACACGGCTTCGTACAATTACGAGTGATTGAAAAGAAGCTTTATAGTGAGTGCAACTACAAAGTGAGTGCTAAGGCTTTTAGTGAGTACAATTACAAGTGAGCGGTGAGAACGCTTATAGTGAGTATAATCACAAGCGATTGTTCGAGCGAGTACAATGGAGCCTTCTAGCGAGTACAAAAAGGGACAGTTTTGCCCTCCTCACATGTGTACCTCCCTCCCTTCTCCCCTCTTTCCTACCCCCCGCAGGTACACTTTCTCGGTGGAGATTTGTCCTGTTTGCAAAGAAGATCTCATCTGTCTCCCCCCGAAAGCCGCCAACGCGTGTGGCACGGCGGCCAACCCTCTAGTCCTCTGCATCCGCGTCTCCAACTCCCTCCAGCTGCTCGACCCCTCCACCCTGCACGCTATCTACCTCGACTCGAACCAGTACTGGCGCTATGGCTTTAAGCCCCTGCTCTCCTCGCGACAGCTTGTGGAATATGTGGTGCTTGATGTTGAGACAGTGGGCGGCGGTGGGGGATGGGGCGGCGGAGGGGGAGGCGGAGGCGGAGGCGGAGGCGGAGGGGGAGGGGGAGGGGGAGGGGGAGTGGGGGGAGTGGGGGGAGCGCCGCACAAGGCGGGGGTAGGGGCGTTGGGGAAGTTTGTGCTGGCAGACGTGCAGGTGGCTCGGGTGGCGGACTTTGGGAAAAATGATGTGATTTTCACCGCGCGCACGCACCTGGGGCATCTGCTTAGGCCAGGGGACTATGCGATGGGGTATGACCTGCACGGGGCCAACCTCAACAGCGATGATCTGGCCAGGTGAGTCAGTGGTGGTGCTGCTGGTTTTAGTTGGTGGTGGGGTGTGCACATGCATGGATGGGAAGAACGATGTGATGTTCACTGCCAGGACGCACCTGGGGTGCTTGCTTAGGCCAGGGGACTATGCGATGGGGTATGACCTGCACTGGGCCAACCTCAACAGCGATGATCTGGCCAGGTGAGTCAGTGGTGGTGCTGCTGGTGTGCCTTTCATCCTCCTCCTGCTGGTGCTCCTGGTGCTTCGGATTTCGGGAAGAACGCTGTGTTGTTCACTGCACGCACACACCTGGGGCACCTGCTGTGCCCGGGGGACTATGCTTGCGAAGGGGTATGACCTGCACCGGGCCAACCTCAACAGCGACGGTTTGGCGAGGTGAGCGTGAGAGACACTGCTGGTCAGGTTCTGGTGGTTTTCATCCTCCCTCCTCCCCCTCCTCTCCCCTTCCTTGCTTCTCCCTCCAAAAAAAAAAGTGACTGTTCATTTCTCTCCCCACTTTTCTCCCTCCCCCTCCCTCTCTTCCCTCCCTTCCTCCGTGCAGGTACAGCAACAGAGCGACCCTCCCCGACGTGATCCTCGTGCGCAAGAGCTATGAGGAGAAGCGCAAGAAGCGGCGCGGCAAGCCGCGGGCATGGAAGCTGAAGCAGCTGGACATGGAAGTGGATGGGGGCGCCGGGGGTGGAGGCGAGATGACCCTGTGAACTTACCACCACCACCCCTCCCACCCCCTCCCTCCGCTCTCCTCCCTCCCCTCCTCCCTCCCCTCCTTCCTCCCCTCCTCCTGTCCCTGCAGGTACAGCAACAGAGCCACTCTCCCCGACGTGATCCTCGTGCGCAAGAGCTACGAGGAGAAGCGCAAGAAGCGGCGCGGCAAGCCGCGAGCGTGGAAGCTGAAGCAGCTTGACATGGAAGTGGATGGGGGCACCGGGGGAGGAGGAGCAGAGAGAGGAGAACGAGGAGGAGGTGGTGGGGCGAAGGGACGGATCGACGAGGAGAGGGATGCGGCGGATAAAGAGAGGTTTTTGGAGGAGTTGGAGGAGGATGCGGATATGCGGTCGCGGATTGCTGTTTACAGGGACCCGGCTTATGTGGCGCCGGTGGCAGGAGGAGGAGCGAGAGGAGGGGATGAGATGGTGGATGCTGGGGAGGAGGATGAGGAGGAGGATGGGGAGGAGGTTCCGGAGATTCCGCTGGAAGAGCTGCTGTCGGATTTGAGGATTGGTGGGGCGGATGGGGAGGAGGAGGAGGAGGGAGAGGTGGGGGATGACGAGGATGATCTGATGGAGACATGAGGACTGAGGCGAATGGGGAGGATGGGGAGGATGGGGAGGAGGTTCCGGAGATCCCGCTGGAAGAGCTGCTCTCGGATTTGAGGATTGGTGGGGAGTAGGCGGAGGAGGGGGAGGTGGAGGAGGATGAGGATGATCTGATGGAGACATGAGGAACGGTTTTTGGAGTAGTTGTAGGACTCTCATATGCGGTCTAGGATTGGCGAGGAGAGGGGGCGGCGGATAAAGAGAGGCTCTTGGAGGAGTTGGAGGAGGGCGATGTGGTGGAGGTGGCATGAGGGCTGGTAGGTACTGTAGTCTATTTTTTAGTCGACTAAAAAATAGACTCATTTCTGTCGTAGTAGGGAAGCTGTGGTGAGAGAAAACGCTTGAGCCTTAGGATCAACAGTGTAAAACTCATGTGAAGCAGTCTTGGGCTGATTTAGTCAATACAGCAGTAGTTTTCTAGTAGTGGCCCTGACGGTTTGGGGTTTTGTAGTCCCATGCGCATGCATATCTGAGTACTGTTGAATACACAGCTAATCACTATTGTGCAGGGCACTTGGGTGATGATGTACTTTCTATTGGAATAATTCAACTCTAATTCCCCTCTCCTGGCAGTGGCAGGAAATCAGGGCGTTTTGGGTTGTCTGTCAGACATTCAGACGGGCCCGAAACCCTCCGAGTCCATACCCACTCGATTGCTGCTTAAGAAACTTGTCTCAGGACACTTGTATGCCAAGCCAATACCCTTGCGCTATTGTTAACAGAAGGGATCCACGGGAGGAAACCTGGACAACTGGTAGCCATTGTAGTACAATCAACAATTCACGACAACCACGATTCCCTCGATAATACCCTTGGGAGAAGCCCTAGCAGCAAGCACATAATCTCATCCTCTGCTTCTTGCTCGGCACGGCATGTGCTGCTGCTGCTGACTGTGCTTCGCGACTTTTGAGTCGACTCAAAAGTCACCTCAAAAGTCACCGCAACATCATCTCATCCTCTGCTTCTTGCTAGGCACAGCATGTCCTGCTGTCTGTGCTTTGCTCTTGGAAACACGCTTCTGTGCCGCCGGACCTTTGTGTGCCGCGCTCATTTGCTTCTCAACCCCTTTCTTTCCCTTGTGCACCAGGGCTTGGACTCTTGCCTGCCTGCCACGGTGCTCCTCCTCCTCTTCCTCCTCTGATTCGCTCTCTTCCTCCTCCCCTGTCCCTTCTGCTTCTTCTTCAGCCTCTTCTCCTGCGTCCTCCTCTTCCCCTTCCTCTCCTTCCTCTTCCCCTTCCTCTCCTTCCTCTTCCCCTTCCTCTCCTTCCTCTTCCCCTTCCTCTCCTTCCTCTTCCCCTTCCTCTCCTTCCTCTTCCCCTTCCTCTCCTTCCTCTTCCCCTTCCTCTCCTTCCTCTTCCTCTTCTTCTATCTCTTCCTCTGACTCTTCCTCCCCTGCCTCCTCTCCTTCCTCCTCCCCACCTTCTTCCTCGTCCTCCTCACTCCCCTCTACTTCCCCATTCTCCTCTCCATCTTCCCTTTCCTCCTCTCCTTCCTCCAAATCCTCTTCCCCTTCCTCCAACTCCTCTTCCCCATCCTCCCTCTCCTCTTCCTCTCCCTCTCCCTTACCCTCCTTCCCCTTCAATTCCTCCTCTCTCTTACTCTCCAGATACCTCCACATCTTCATAGCAGCATCCACCTCACTATACTCCCCTCCTCCCTTCTCACTCCCATCTCCCTTCCCCTCCTCCCCTCTCCCCCTCTCACCTCTTTCCCTCCTCTCACTCTCCCTCCTCACCTTCTCCTTCAGTACTTCCAAACCAGAAGGCCTCTCCTGGGCGGCAGCTTTGGCCTGTAGCACCAGGGCAGCTTTGCCGTCCATCAGCGCCAGCTCAGCACCCGGCTGTAGCGCCACGTCAGCATGCACCGCCAGGTCAGCGGTCGGCTGTAGCATGGTGAGGGCGGCGAGAGTGTAGTCGACAAGGTAGGAGCTCCGCAACACGCGCTCGAGACGCGCCAGGTGGCGCTGCGTGTATGGTTGCAGCCCGTCCAGAATCTCCCCGATTCCTGGGATCTGCGTGACGTGGCAGTCGGGGATTGGTGGGAAAAAATGTAATAGCAGGGGGTATGAGCGAGGGGGGAGTGTGGTGCCTCAACACAGCCGCAAGCAGTCTCTGGGCCGAGAGGGACACAGCTTGGCATTGGTGTTCCACTCGCGCGCATACAGCAGCAGCTGCCTCTGATTGGTTTTGCTCTTATATCCCCCTCAAGCCCCCAGCCTCCCTTCCGTCCTCCCTTCCTCCTCTCCCAGTCCCTACCTGCATTAAAGCTGATGGAGGGTGGTGCTTCAGCACAGCCGCCAGCAGTCTCTGAGCGGACAAGCACAGCTTGGTGTTGGTGTTCCACTCGTGCGCATACAGCAGCAGATGCCCCAGCTGCTCACTGCCTTCACTTCACCTTATCCCTTACCTGCATGAGGGCTGATGGAGGGCGGTGCCTCAGCTCAGCTTGGTGTTGGTGTTCCACTCGTGCGCATACAGCAGCAGCAGCTGCTGTTCCTTCTGTTCATTGAGTCCTACCCAGTCCCGTACCTGCATGAGCGTTGCTGGGGGGTGGTGCTTCAACACTGCAGCCAGCAGGCGTTGCGCCGACAAGCACAGCTTGGCGTTGGTGTTCCATTCACGTGCGTACAGCAGCAGCTGCCGCAGCTGTGTGGGTTCTAGCCCCGCCACCGCCCCTCCTATCCTCTCCTCCGCACCTTCCTTCCTGCCATGGGGAGCACGAGGGAAGAGGGTAGTGGGGGAGGGGACAAGAGGGTATGGGGAGAGAGGTGAAAGAGAGAGATAGTGAAAAATGGAGAGGGGAAAGAGGAGAGGCGGAAGGGAGAGAGTGAGGGGAATGAAGGAGAGTGTTCCCCTCACGTGCATACATCAAGCAGTGGACTCACTTGATGAGGTCAGAGAGCAGTGCTGGCGTGGTGGCCATGGTGGCGGGTCGCTGCAGCTGCAGCGTGGCGTGCGCGTGCAGAGACACACACACACTCACACACAGAGTCACACATACAGAGGGTCACACAGCGTGGACAGCAGCGGACTCACTTGATGAGGTCAGAGAGCAGTGCTGGCGGCCATGGTGGTGGGTCGCTGCAGCTGCAGTCGAGAGGCCTCAACGGCAGTTCAATATGCCAAGCTACAAAAACAGTTCACCCATGTGTGCATCACCAACCAACTCACTTCCATGAGGCCGGAGAGCAGCGCGGCCATGGTGGCGGGTCGCTGCAGCTGCAGCTGCAGCGTGGCGTGCGTGTGCGCGCACACACGCACTCACACACACACACACACACACACACACACACACACACACACACACACACACACACACACACACACACACACACACACAGTCACCCACACAGGGCAGCAGACTCACTTGATGAGGTCGGAGAGCAGCACCCAGTCGGGAATTCCCAACAGCAGTTTCAGTACACTGAACCACTTCCCAACAGCAGTTTCAGTACACTGAACCACTTCCCAACAGCAGTTTCAGTACACTGAACCACTTCCCAATATACTTCTATATACTCCCACACATTCCCAGCTCACTTCATGAGATCTGAGAGCAGTGCTGCCATGGTGGTGGGTCGCTGCAGCTGCAGCGCCAGCTGTAGCGCCGTCACATAGTCCTCCGCTACAGCTGCGTTGCGCATCGCCTGCTCCTGCTGTACTGCCTTGACCTGTTTGGTGTTGAGCAGAGGGGTAAGGGAGGAAGGGGGAAGGGGAGGGAGAATGGTCGCCTCCAAAGAGGGGGCAGAGAATGCCAATGGCAACGGCATTGCCTTCACATCGATTCGCACCGCCATCACCTGATATGAGGAAAGGGGGGGAAGGTAAGAGGAAAGGGGGGGGAGGGGAAGGGAGGCTGGGCAGGAGGGCTCAAACCGCCATCACCTTATAGAGCCATCTCACTCCACCTCCATCACCTGATGGCACCGTGGCTCTGTAGTAGATTGTTGCTGGTTACCCAAAGATACTTGACTAGTTTTGAGTCGACTAAAAACTGCTCTCCGGATCTACTACATGGTTGCACCTGCTTTGATTTTCACCTGCTTTATAGCGAGTACAGAGTGCACCACAACACACCCATCACGTGCTTTATATCGAGTACAGAGTGCAGTGCACCACAACCCCTCACCTGCTCCAGGGCGGCCTCTTGCTGCTCCTGCTGCGTGCAGTCCTGCCACACGTGCACCAATGAGTCGCTGCCACCTGTCGCCAGCATCTCCGATCCTGGGCTCACTGCCAGCGCCCATATCTGCAGGCGGCAGAGAGAGGTGGAGGTGAGGGGGGGGAAGAGAGGGGGAGAGGGGGATGAAGAGGCCGGGTGGCTTTTGAGTCGCTGCCACCTGTCGCCAGCATCTCCGACCCTGGGCTCACTGCCAACGCCCATATCTGTGAGAGGCGGAGAGAGGTCGGGGAGATGGGGGGAGGGGGGAGAAACTGGGGAAGGGAGGGGGGAGAAACTGGGGAAGGGAGAAGGGGAGATGGGGGGAGGGGGGAGAAACTGGGGAAGGGAGGGGGGGAGATGAGGGGGCTGGGTGGGTGTGTCGCCAGCATCTCCGACCCTGGGCTCACTGCAAGCGCCCATATTCGAAGAGGGTGAGAGGAGTATGGGGGGGGGAAGAAGGGGAGAAGACGTGGGAGATTAAGGGTTGACTTTTGAATTGACTCAAAAGTCAATACGGGGGGGAGAGGCGGGGAAGGGGGAGAAGACGTGGGCGATAAAGGGTTGACTTATGACAAAGAGATAAAGGGTTGACTTATGACAAAGAGATAAAGGGCAAAATATGACGAATTTGCTGTGAGCTCAAGTATGGGCGCTGGGCACTCTCATTGTGATGGTACCAACGCGATGGGATGCAGTGCAATGTGGCAACTTTCCAACACCTCCCCCCTCCCTCCCCTCCCCTCCCCCCCCCCCCCCCCCCCCCCCCCCCCCCCCCCCCCCCCCCCCCCCCCCCCCCCCCCCCCCCCCCCCCCCCCCCCCCCCCCCCCCCCCCCCCCCCCCCCCCCCCCCCCCCCCCCCTCTCTCCCCCTCCTCCCGCTTCCCCCTTTCCCTTTTGAATCTGCATGGAGAAACCCGTGTAAAACTGAGTCCTCCCCGCCACCCCTTCCCTTCTCCTCTAATTATCCCTCTTCTCCACAATCCCACCTTATCCTCATGCTCATCGAACGTGTTCACACACTCCCCGCCCTTCACACTCCACAGCTTCAGCAGCCCGTCCGCTCCCGTTGACACCACCTTGGGCAGCAGGCAAGGAGAAGAGAGGGGAAACGAAATGTGCCAAGGGGGCAGAGCGGGTCAGAGAAAGAGAGAGAGAGAGAGAGAGAGAGTAAGAGGGTTGAGAGGAGTGAGAGTTGCGGAACATCAGACACAGCACACAAGCACAGCGCCTACCTGCGTGCCTCGGGTGACAAATATGGCCTTGAAGCACCGAGGCCTCGTGCCCCTGCAGTGTGCGCAGGCAGCTGCCATCTGCCAGAGCCCAGATGCGACTTTTGAGGCGCCTCAAAAGGCAGCTGCCATCTGCCAGAGCCCAGATGCGACTTTTGAGGCGCCTCAAAAGGCAGCTGCCATCTGCCAGAGCCCAGATGCGACTTTTGAGGCGCCTCAAAAGGCAGCTGCCATCTGCCAGAGCCCAGATGCGACTTTTGAGGCGCCTCAAAAGGCAGCTGCCATCTGCCAGTGCCCAGATGCGGCCATCCCAGTCCACACAGCGCACGACATGACACGTCCACAGAAGAGCCAGTGCCCACATACCTGCCCTGCGTGCCTCGGGTCACGAATAAGGCCTTGAGCACGCTCGCCTCGTGCCCCTGCAGTGTGCGCAGGCAGCTGCCGTCTGCCAGAGCCCAGATGCGGCACGTGGCGTCACCCGATGCTGTGAGCACACAAACCCAATGCAGCACACAACATAGGGCCTACCTGCGTGCCTCAGGTGACAAAGATCGCTTTCAGTACTGAAGCCTCATGGCCCTGCAATGTGCGCAAGCAGCTGCCGTCTGCCAGCGCCCAGATGCGACGCGTGGCCTCCCCCGATACAGTGAGCAGACACACCCAATGCAGCACACAGCACAGTTAACCCAGGGCCTACCTGCATGCCTCGGGTGACAAAGATGGCTTTGAGAACCGATGCCTCGTGGCCTTGAAGAGTTCTCAAGCGGCTGCCGTCTGCCAGCGCCCAGATGCGACGCGTGGCGTCGCCCAATGCCGTGAGCACACACACATATAAAAAGTGCAGCACACAGACCGGCACAGCACAAACACAGCACACACCTGTGTGCCTCGAGTAACAAAGATGGCTTTCAGTACTGATGCCTCGTGCCCTTGAAGCGTGCGCAAGCAGCTGCCATCCGCCAGCGCCCAGATGCGGCACGTGGCGTCGCCTGAAGCCGTGAGCACACAGCGATCCACGGGGGAGAAGGCGACACTCCACACGCCCCGCTTGTGGCCTCTTAGTGTCACGGAGAGCGAGAGGTCGGGGAGACGCCACACCTTGGCCGTGCGGTCCTGTAGGGGGGGAAGAGAGCAAGGCGGGAAACAGAAGGAACATCGACTGATGCCGTGAGCACACAGCGGTCCACGGGGGAGAAGGCGACAGACCACACGCCACGCTTGTGGCCCCTTAGTGTGACCGAGAGGGACAAATCAGGCAGGCGCCACACCTTGGCCGTGCGGTCCTGTTGGTAGGGGAGGGAGAAGGTGATGGGGGGAGCAAGGGGGAGGGGCGGGGAGGAGGAAAGCACATTTCACCCACCTGACAATCATCTGAGGCCCCCCTCGAAAATCACCGGAGGCCCACCCAACATCACCTGAGAACCACCTGAGACCCACCTGGGAGCCGGAGCACACGAGAGCATTGTTGGGCGCCACAACCACGCGTTGATGTCCGTGGCATGTGCTGCCACTGTGGCACCTTACTTGACTTGGCTTGACTTGCCTTGAATCACTTGACTTGAAGCGCTCAGATGATCTACCTGGGAGCCGGAGCACACAAGGCCATCGTTTGGAGCCACCGCAACAGAGTTGATGTCCTTGTCGTGTGCTGCCACTGTGGCACCTGACTTGAATAGATATGAATTACTTGTGCAAGTGACTCGGATTTACCTGGGAGCCGGAGCACACGAGGCCATCATTGGGAGCCACAGCTACAGCGTTGATGTCCTTGTCGTGTGCTGCCACTGTGGCACCTGACTTGAGACGAAGCACACCACCCCTCCCACGAGGCAGCGCTGCTGCTGAGGAGGAAAGGAGGGCCGCGAGCGGCCAGACTTTAAGCGTGCGATCACTGTGACGGGGGGAGGGGGAAGGGAGAGGGTTGGGACAAGGGGCAACGGGTAAAGGTTAAGCTTGAGGCAGCTCACGACTTGAGGTGGTGGTGCTGAGGAGGAGAGGAGGAGAGCGAGCGGCCAGACTTTGAGCATGCGATCACTGGGAGTAGAGGGGGAGGGGGGGGTGGGGTGGGGGAGGAGGGGAGAAGAGGGGGGGAGGGGGAGAGGCAGCTCGAAACGCAAGGCAGTGGTGGTGAGGAGGAGGAGGAGGAGAGGAGGAGCGCGGGCAGGCAGCCAAACTTTGAGCATGCGGTCGCTGAGGAGGAGAGGGGTGTGCGAGGGAAGTCACGTGATTGAAGAAATGTTTTGAGACGTCTCAAACCATTTCTTCAATCACGTCGCTGAGGTGGAGAGGAGAGGGGCGTGCGAGGGAAGTGGGGCGGGCATGGACAGTGGGGGAACGTGATTTTTGAGGTGGCTCGAAATGTGAGGAAGCGCTGCTGCTGAGGAGAAGGAGGAGCAGGAGAGGAATAATTTAAGAGTATGATAGCTGGGGAGGAGAGGGGGATAAGAGTGAGGGGAAGCAGTTTTGAGGCATGGTATGGTATGTCAACCATTCACACACGGCGCGCTACACCGTTCACATTGTTCACACATGCAACACTGCGCACACTGTTCACTTCACACACACGGTACACTATTCAGCTCACTCACACGTGTGCGTACCTGGATCCAGAGACCAAGAAGGGACCAAGAAGAGACCAAGAAGAGACCAAGAAGAGACCAAGAAGAATGTCTGATCATACACTATTCGTCTCCCACGTGTACGTACCTGGATCCAGAGACCAAGAAGGGACCAAGAAGAGACCAAGAAGAGACCAAGAAGAGACCAAGAAGAGACCAAGAAGGGACCAAGAAGAGACCAAGAAGAATGTCTGATTATACACTATTCAGCTCGCTCCCACATGCACCACGTACCTGGATCCAGAGACCAAGAAGGGCCCGGCTCCTCCCCCTTTCCCGCCTCCTGCAGGCTGATCTGGCGGCGGCCTCTGAGAGAACGCCACGGCAGCAACAGCTGCCACGTGTCCTGAACCCATTGCTAAACAGGTGCCAGTAGTGACGTCCCAAATTCGCACCTGATTGGCCAGGAATGGGTGGGCAGGGATGGGTCGGAAGGGATGGGTGGGAAGGGATAGGTGGGAAGGGATGTGGGTGGGAAGGGATGGGTGGGATGGGATGGGTGGGATGGGATGGGGGGGAAGGGATGGGTGGGATGAAGAAGGCAGGTGGGGGGAGGATAAATGGGAAGGCATGTGGCATGTGACCTTAGGCGTGTACTTGCATAACAACACGAACGCACTGCAAGTGTGCTGGCTGGGAGGACGGGAAGAAGGGCAAGGGGAGTATGGCGGAGGTGGTATGGGGAGGGGAAGGGTGGGCGGGGATGGGGGGGGAGAGAAAGTGAGGCAGGGCATAAGAAGGGTGCGAGGAGGGGTGTGGGATGAGGGACAGGTGAGGGGTCGAGCGAGATGCTTACAGAGTGATCTTTGACTTTTGAGTTGACTCAAAAGTCAACTCGGGGGACAGGTGAGGGGTAGAGCGAGATGCTTACAGAGTGATCTTTGACTTTAGAGTTGACTCAAAAGTCAACTCGGGGGACAGGTGAGGGGTCGAGCAAGATGCTTACAGAGTGATCTTTGACTTTTGAGTCGACTCAAAAGTCAACTCGGGGGACAGGTGAGGGGTCGAGCGAGATGCTTACAGAGTGATCTTTGACTTTTGAGTTGACTCAAAAGTCAACTCGGGGGACAGGTGAGGGGTCGAGCGAGATGCTTACAGAGTGATCTTTGACTTTTGAGTCGACTCAAAAGTCAACTCGGGGGACAGGTGAGGGGTCGAGCGAGATGCTTACAGAGTGATCTTTGACTTTTGAGTCGACTCAAAAGTCAACTCGGGGGACAGGTGAGGGGTCGAGCGAGATGCTTACAGAGTGATCTTTGACTTTTGAGTTGACTCAAAAGTCAACTCGGGGGACAGGTGAGGGGTCGAGCGAGATGCTTACAGAGTGATCTTTGACTTTTGAGTTGACTCAAAAGTCAACTCGGGGGACAGGTGAGGGGTCGAGCGAGATGCTTACAGAGTGATCTTTGACTTTTGAGTCGACTCAAAAGTCAACTCGGGGGACAGGTGAGGGGTCGAGCGAGATGCTTACAGAGTGATCTTTGACTTTTGAGTCGACTCAAAAGTCAACTCGGGGGACAGGTGAGGGGTCGAGCGAGATGCTTACAGAGTGATCTTTGACTTTTGAGTTGACTCAAAAGTCAACTCGGGGGACAGGTGAGGGGTCGAGCGAGATGCTTACAGAGTGATCTTTGACTTTTGAGTCGACTCAAAAGTCAACTCGGGGGACAGGTGAGGGGTCGAGCGAGATGCTTACAGAGTGATCTTTGACTTTTGAGTCAACTCAAAAGTCAACTCGGGGGACAGGTGAGGGGTCGAGCGAGATGCTTACAGAGTGATCTTTAGCAGACGAGGCGAGCAGAGAAACCGGAACCGAATCGGAAGAACCACCTTTACCATCACCATCAGCACTAGCAGTAGCGCCATCAGCAGCAGCAGCAGCAGCAGCAGCAGCAGCAGCAGCAGCAGGAGCAGCAGCAGCAGCAGCAGCAGCAGCAGCAGCAGGAGGGCCAAGAAGGGCACGAGGCACGGAGCAGGGGTGGGGGTAAGCGTCGATGCACAGCACGATGTCCGAGTGGCCAATCAGGGAACGGCGACAGCTGGCGGTCGCCACGTCGTACACGCGCACTTGCTCGCTATTGGTTGCCACCGCCAGCTGCAGATTCCTCTCCACCCCTCTCAACGCCTTCCTTATCCCCTCAGCTCCGTCCTCTCCCTCCTCCTCCCCCTCCTCTACCTCCCTTCCCCCACCTTCTCTCTCAGTCTCTTCCCCCTCATCTCCCTCTCCCACTGCATCCAGAAATGAAGAGGAGGGGTCAAGGACGAATCGCACGTCCACGATCTCGTCGTTCTGCCCAATCAGCTGCTGACACATGGCAAGAAACTGCTGCTGCAGCTGCTGCTGCTGCTGCTGTTTCGTTACAATCACGTTGACAGGCTGGTATGTTAACAGCCGTTGATCTGCAGTGGTACACAATAACCTGCATCCTCCCTTTCCTCCCCCTACTCCCCCTCCTCCATCCAAGCCCAGAAACTGCGCAGACAAAAACCCACCGCCAGCTGGCGCTTCGTCATTGGCCTCCGTGCCTGTTTTCTGCTGCCCGCCTGCCACCTCAGCTGCCCGTTGCTCCAAGACCGCCGTTGACTTGTCTGACCGCCACAACCGCATCACACCCCTCTCGCCCACACTCACAAACCACACCACCTCTCGTTCCCCCATCTCCTCCCTACTCTTCTTCCCCTTCTCCCCCTTCCTCCCCTTCTCTCCCTTCTCCCCCTTCCCCCCCTCTGCTTCCCCCCCAGCAGCAGCAGCAGCAGCAGCAGCAGCAGCAGTGGGGGGAATGGCAGGAAATTCTGGGGCTATAGGGGGTGTGACTATAGCGAGGCCTTCGAGGGACTCAAAAACGGGGATGGTGGTGACGTGGGCATAGGTGCGAATATCCCATATGTTTACCACCTGATGAAAGAAGTGGGGGGGGAGGGGGAGCACGAAGGGGACAGGGGGGTGTAAACGGAGACGGGAGGGAAAAAGGGTTTTGAGACGTCTCGAAACCCTTCTTCATACAAGGGGAGCACGAAGGGGACAGGGGGGTGTGAACGGAGACGAGAAGGAAAAAATGGAGTCGAGAGGATTTCTGAGTCGACAAAAAAAAAGGGGGGGTGGGGTGGCAGAGGATGAGAAGCGTCTGTTGAGGCGCCTTTTGGAGGCACCTCAGAAATCGTCTCGGTTTTGAGAAGCCTCAAAAAGGGGAGGGGTGGCGGCAGTGGATTAGAAGCGTCCACCCAATCAGCAGATGAGAAGGGGAGGAGTAGCAGAGGATGAGAAGCGTCTGCTCCTCCCCCACAGTCAGCCCAATAAAGAGCTTCACAGTGATAGCCTGATAGGCATGCACAGGTAGAGGGAAAAGAGGAACCCACAGGGATCCAATCCAATTCAATCACTCCACTCCGCTCCGCTCGCTCCGCGCCTTGTCACGACTGGCAGTGACCAGCAGCCAGCCAGAGGGCGAGAATGCGATGGCAGTGACTGTGGAGAAATGCTTTGCGCTCAACTCACAAAGTGGTGCTCCTGCAGTGACTGTGGAGAAATGCTTTGCGCTCAACTCACAAAGTGGTGCTCCTGCAGTGACTGTGGAGAAATGCTTTGCGCTCAACTCACAAAGTGGTGCTCCTGCAGTGACTGTGGAGAAATGCTTTGCGCTCAACTCACAAAGTGGTGCTCCTGCAGTGACTGTGGAGAAATGCTTTGCGCTCAACTCACAAAGTGGTGCTCCTGCAGTGACTGTGGAGAAATGCTTTGCGCTCAACTCACAAAGTGGTGCTCCTGCAGTGACTGTGGAGAAATGCTTTGCGCTCAACTCACAAAGTGGTGCTCCTTCAGTGACTGTGGAGAAATGCTTTGCTTGTCCAAAGAGGCGAGGCTAGAGGGAAAGGGGTTGGTTAGTTGACTGACCTTATCAAGTGATGCAGTAAGAAGAAGCCGGCCCGAGGGCGAGAAGGAGATGGCAGTGACTGTGGAGAGTGCTTGTTTAGAGAGGTGAGGCTAGTGGGGGGAGGCGAGGCTAGGAGGGGGAGTGGGGGGATAATGACTGGCTGACCTTATCACGGGAAGCAGTGAGCAGCAGCCATCCAGAGGGCAAGAAGGCGATGGAAGGTGACTGTAGAGAAGTGCTTGTGCAGTGAGGCGATGCTGGGAGAAAAGGTGTTGGCTGGTTGACTTGACTGACCTTGTCACGACTAGCAGTGAGCAGCAGCCATCCCGACGGTGAGAAGGCGATAGCAGTGACTGTGGAGAAATGCTTATCCAGAGAGGCTGCTGGGCGCTTGGTCACCAGGTCCCACACCCGCACCAGCCCGCTCTCTGACGCGCCCACAAGCTGATAGGGAGTGAGAGAGAACGGGGGGGTGTTGAGAGGGTGGTGAATGGATTGTGGGGAACATGAAGAGGCTGCTGGGCGCTTGGTCACCAGATCTCACTAGCCGGCTCTCTGATGCGGATCTCACCAGCTGTTTGGGGGAAGAGGGGGGGAGGGCGGAGAGGAGGTGGGATGGCAGGAGAGAGATTGTGAAACGAGTTTTGAGGCGCCACTAAACCCGTTCCTTAGAAAAAAAAAACGCATGACAAGCTTTGGAGAATTCTCAGAAGCAACAAACTGAAGCATTCACCCAAGAAGTGACCGCCCCGCAGCAGCACTCACCAAGAGGTGTCCGCCCAACACAACCAAGAGCTTCAGTTTGTTGCTGCTGAGAATTCTCAAAAGCTTGTCACCAAGAGCTGGTTCGGGTCGGGATGGAACGCCACATGCGTTGCGACCCAGCACGCCTCCCATGCCCGTGAACGAGTGCGTGCATGCATTAGTGCGTGCATGCATTCGCCTTCAGGTCAGGTCCCACATGCGCACGCCCCCCTTTGTCAGCCTGCCTGCCCATCTGCATGTATGCTTTCATGCCGCAGCGACCACACACGCACCTGGGGATGTCGACTTGATACTCACCAGCAGCTGGTTTGGGTCGGGGTGAAAGGCCACTTGCGACAGCACGCCTCCCATGCCCGTGAACGAGTGCGTGCATACATTCGCCTCTAGGTCCCACACTCGCACGCCCCTGTCCGCCCCCCCCCTCCCTATCCGTCTCCCTGCTCAGCTACCTGACTGCTTTCTCTCACTTGCCTGCAACACACTCACCAGCAGCTGATTCGGGTCGGGGTGAAAGGCCACTTGCGACAGCACCCCTCCCATGCCCGTGAACGAGTGCGTGCATGCATTGGCCTCTAAGTCCCACACTCGCACGCCCCTGTCCGCCCCCCCTGTCGCCAGCAGTCCCCCGCTCGCGTCTATCGCCAGACACGACACTGGCGCGGGGTGCGCCTGGGCGGAATAGGGAGGGAGGGGGTATGGGGAAGGGAGTTGGAAGAGAGAGAGGGAGCAAGGGAGCAAGGAAAGGAGGGGAAACGAGGATTAGCCTATGGGTGGTGGTCCCACACGCACGCACACGCCCCTGTCCGCCCCCACAATCGCCAGCAGCAGTGTTTTGAGACGTTTCAAAACACGCCCCTGTCCGCCCCCCCTATCCCCAGCAGCAGCCCTGACAGACACTGGCGTCTACCGCCAGGCTTCACACTGGCGCGGGGTGTGCCTGGGTATGTTGAGTTTACTTTCGAGAATTCTCAAAAGGTGCGCCTGGGTATGTTGAGTTTACTTTTGAGAATTCTCAAAAGGTGCGCCTGGTCTGGGTATGATGAGTTTACTTTTGAGAATTCTCAAAAGGTGCGCCTGGGTAAGAGATTGGAGGCGGCGGGCGTGTGGCAAGGCGGGGGGCCGGAGTGGTTGGGAGGGGGGGGGTGGGGGGGAGGGGGGCTGAGGATGGGGAGGGGGTCCAAGAAAAAATATTTTGAAAGGTTTTGATGGGTTCGGAAGGGTTCGGAAGAAGAGCGATGGAAGACCAGCCTGCGCGGCCATTCCATGCCTCAACTTCCACGACCTAATTGCACTCTCCCACGCGCTGCTTCTCCTCCCTCCCCCCTTTTCCCCTTCCACTTCCCCTCTTCCCCTCCCATCCCATCCCCACCAATCTTTCCCCTCCGCCTCATCTTCCACGACCGCTTGCACTCCCTTGAACGCCGCCTTTTGAGTCGACTCAAAAGTCACCAATCTTTCCCCTCCGCCTCATCTTCCACGACCGCTTGCACTCCTCCGAACGCCGCCTGCTTCTCCCCCCTATCCTCAACCCTTCCTCTCGTCCCTCCGCCCATTCCCTTCCCTCCACCTTCCGCCCCCTCCTCTCTTACGACCCCTCCCTCCACTACCGCTTGCACTCCCCCCGTCCGTGCGCCGCCTCTTCCCATTCCCCTCCTCCCTTCGCCTTTCCCCTTCTCCCTTCCGCCCCCTTTCCTCCCAAAACATCTCCCCACCCTCCCCCCTCCCTCCACGACCGTTTGCGCTCCCCTGTGCGCAGCCTCTCCCCCTCCCCCTCCACCTTCCGCCTTCTCTCCCCCCCCCTTCTCGGCCCTTATCCTCCCGCCTTCCCCTCCCCTCCAAACCCCCGTCCCCTCATTTTCCACGACCGCTTGCACTCCTCCGTGCGCCAGTTCCACCAGCGCGTCTGCGGGCTGCGCTGCCTCTCCCCCGTCCCCCATTTCCCCGTTCCCCATCCCCCATTCCCCCGCCCGCCATTCTGCCTCCCATCCCCCATTCCCCGTTCCCCCACCCCCATCACCATTCACGACCGCGCTTGCACTCCCCCGTGCGCCGCCTCTCCCCTCTCCCCCCCGTTCTCCCCGCCTTTCCTCCCCCACTCCACTCCCCCCAACCCCCCCCACCCCCCTCACCTTCCACGACCGCTTGCACTCCCCCGTGCGCCAGTTCCACCAGCGCGTCTGCAGGCTGCGCGAGCTGGCCAATACGGACACGCCATCTGGACTCGCGGCGACGGCTGTGATTGGCTCTCCGTCGCCCTCCAACGTCCGCACGACCTTCCCCGTGGTGAGATCGACGACCTTTACCACGTCAGCGCAAGGACATGCCACGTGGCGTCCATCCGGAAAGACTGCCACGTGGCCGCCTGTGTAAAAGACCTCAAGGCTTAGCAGCGGCTTGTATGTTTTTTTCGGGATGAGGCGCGTCAGCTGCTGATGCTTCTGCGATTGGCCGCCTACGGATTGCGATGCGGAGGACGTGGCGCCCTCCAATCGGGGCGCCATGGTGAACGAATGCTCGAATAAAGAGGCTGCGGCAAGCACGGCAGGATCGGACGACGGAACGGAGAGATCGGGCAACGGTTGACGAATCGACGGCTCGATATTGTTGTGTCTAACAATGCGATTCCTGGTGTGGGAAACACAGCGTGTTCCCACAAACTGACTTAGCCTAAACCCTGAGCTCCCCAGAACCCTGAATCAACGGCTTTAGCGAAGGGAAATTCGCATAAACTGTCTGCCCATCAATCCCAGGGTTGCCTGTGATTCTGGTTGGCACAAACCTGCTCAGAGGAGCCCTATCATCCTCGATACAGTCTGGTCGGATGTATAAACAGCAGTTGCTCGCGTTCATCGTTGGGACGTATTTACAGTTGGCAGGAATTTGACATTTTTCAAATTTGACAAATAAAGTCTCCCACACAGTACTCTTTAGCAAAATGTCAGAAAACTGTGCATGCACCTCTCCCTCTGTATGCTTGTATCAACACCTATTTATTTCAACGTTATTGGGATAGACTTTCATGATAAGATTTGCTCTAGCTAGTGGCGGCCTACACTTGGGCGCTTCCCACTGCAAATATGGGTGCCTCACTGAGAGCATAATTCACTTCAGGCAAAGCGGCTTACCAGGCACACTACTAACAATAGACTCACAGACAGCGAGGTGTTTGTCTAAAGCTGGATAAGAGGCAAACCAACATTGCAGCTATCTGCTGCATATATAAGGGGCAAAGGTAGTGTGATAAGAGGGAGAAATGAGAGGGGAGGGAGTTTTGGAGGGGAGAGAGGTTTGTAGCTGGCATGCTTGAATCTGTATGTATGTGTGTGGGAGTATCTTTTCCCAAGGTGGCTTCCGCCCCCTTATCTACTAGGTCTCCCATTCTTGCGGCTCGTAAGCTTGCAGCAACTGTACGAGCTGCTGCTGCTGCTGCTGCTCTTGTTGCTGCTTTTATTGTGACGTCTAAGGAATCTGTTCCTGCGGTTGCTGATGCTGCCGTCCTCCTACTACTACGCTGCTACTTCTGTCTGGGAACGCGTCGATAGCTGCGCGGCCAATAGAATGCTCGGAACCGCACCGCATGCGGTTCGAGTGCTGCCCCTTTCTGCCTGTATGCCGTACACGCGCAACACTGTGACACCCACGCCAAACGTGACACTACCGAACTGGCATGCTATGAATCGCCAACGCCTAAGCAGGACTCGGGGCGACTCGACTCGTCTACGCCCACACGTGCATCTTCTCCCGACGACTCCCGCCGAAACGCTTTAAGAGGAACCGCCGGATATGCCCGGCTCTGTTGGCGGGAAAAAATTCGCGAACAAACGCGATCCGCTTCTCTTCTTTTTTCTCGTCGGGAACCTTCGAGGTTCGTTCCTCTGCGTCCCACTCCTTCCAATCTGACCGGGCCACGTCATCATGGTTGTCGTTCGACCAATCACTGGAGTCGCTGTCGCCCACTACCGAGCCGCACTCGCTGCTGCTGGCGGTCTGCGACGCGCATTCGAATTCCGCGTTGCACAGAATGTCTTGCGATTTCGAGACGAAGGAAGATGACGTTGACGATGAAACCAATGTGTTCCTGCCGCCGTTCCGAGCATCATTCATATTGAAGTCGCCACTGAAGTGATTGGGTAGCGTTCGATCATGTACAGGGCTTAAATCATACGCGCCAGAGTCTTCGTTTTCTGATTCGAGCGAAATTGACGAAAGAGTTTTCTTGAGGCTGGGCTGCTTGACGAACGAGAGGTTAAAAGTCGCCAAACTTCGCAGCGACAAACTCCGCGACTTTGTGGGGGCTTCAAAATCCCAAGACGATGCTACCCCGCCGCGGTTCGCAAATTCGTTCAGATCGTCCGACGAATCCACGCCGAAAATTCCCCACTCCTCCTCCTCGGCGTTCCCGAGAAGCGATTCCTCCTTTTTGCGAGATTTGGCGAAGTCAGTTGGCGAAAACAACCCTGAACCGGCGCTATTCACAGCCGTGAGGCTGATTGACCGCGGCATCCATCTTAGTAACTGAGGCCCCTTGTCACCGCTCCCGCTGCCGTGCTTACTGGTTCCTGGAGAGAGATCAAGCGCAGGGCCGGATTCCCCAAGCGCGGAAAGTTTACCGCGAATATCGGGGCCTCGGCGGCGCGAGCTGAAGTCGAATGACGACAGATTGATGCCGCCCATGGTCAGAGTTTGGAGTATGAAGCTGTCAGCGGCGGATGCGGAGGGGGGTCCTGTGAGCGGGTTCCAGGGAGAGGGTCTTTCGGATGGAAGGTTAAGGTAGGAAGGAATGGATTTACGCTCTTGTGAGCATTTGCCTGAGAGTTTGCTTTGAATGGCAAGCACTGGGGAGGGTGTGCGCGGTTGATAACCTAGGCATGTGAATTCCGTCTACGCCTACACCTGTAGGATGTCGTTCTGGGAAAAGGTATCAGCTGTCGTTGGCATCAGTCGGATATGAAGATTCATTTATGCATATGGTCCTGAATATGTATTTTAGTTCTGGCTCAGGTCTGCGACTTAGGGCCTTCCGAACGGAATGTGGTCGCGGTTGCGGATACGACTGCGCGGATGCGTTTCGACTGCTGAGGGGTGCATCGGCGAATATTCGCTGCCGGGGGGGATGCACGGTTCGGGTTCTTGGGTTTGGTTCTCTCTCCCTCTCTTGCGCTGTTGGGTGGGTTGAATGTTTCGGCGGTGCGGTTGTGATGGGGGTACTGGTCGCACGCGGTGCCCTAATTCACACACCCACCAGTTGCCTAGGCGGAACACTGCTCTGCATCTGGTAGCAAAAGTTTCGTTGTCTGGAGCTGACCTCACACACACACACACCAACAAAGCGGAGCACGGTCCACGACAAGAGACCGCGGGTGGGTGGTGGGAAAGGAATGGTTGCGCAGAATTGCTTTGCCGCTGAAACAATTTCAGCGCGCCGCAGCAAAATGCGAAGCGCTACCTGTCTTACGCAGCAGAACGAATGGAAGGGAATCAGGGATGTTCTGATTTTCCGTGTGCAGGAAGAAGTGTGACGACAGCTGTCAACGGTAACCATTCAGTCAACTGCCACCTGCCGGCGAACGCTTGCGACCGTTGCGAACGGTGAGTGGATTCGGTGGGGGCGAGCGAACAGAACTGGAACACTGTGGGCTTGCTATTTATCATTAACTGACAAGTGTAAAGAAGCATGCTTTATCGTATATCGGATCGTAACCTGGGAGCGTTCTCGCTCAGTCATTTCCAAGCTTTTCGTCAAGCATTTCGCTGGAGCCGTTGCTTCGCTCGTGGTGGGAAATAAATCATCCCCACTTGGCGCCGTCCCCAAACTAGGCATTCACGCGCCGCCAACCCGAGAGTAGGGTAACCAACCGGAAACCGAATCGCTACCGACATTTTGGCACCATTTTCTCCCAAAACAGATTTCCCTCTTCCCCCGTCACAAAGACCCCCTTCCAAATTCCTTCGCCCTCGCCCCACTCCAGCAGGTTCTCTCCTCTCCTCTGCGTTCCACAGCAAAGAATCTCCACGTCACAGTACAATACTCCCTTCACCCACATACGAGCGCATACCGCCCGCAGCTGCTCTGCAGAGACTTCCGCTTCACCCGCGTCTCTCTTGCCTGCTGGCCGTCGACGTGTGTACAGTGTGTGTGCCAGAGCGAGCCGCATGGTGCCCGCAATCCACACATTCACGATCCCAAACTAGACTGCAACCATGCCTTCATGAAAATGAGGGAGTCCTCCTGGACGAAAATTAGGCACCTTACTTACCCGTTGACAGAGAAACCCAGAGGATAATGGTCTGGCCTGGTCTCCCTCTGTTTAGATTCGTGCCTGCGTCACAGCGCAAAAGCGAAGCACAGCCCCCTCTCCAGCGAGGCAGTCTGTCCTGATCTCATCCCATCCCATCGCATCCCATCCCACCACTTCGTTTCCAACACCCCGGCGCCTTTGGGGGATGCCCTCTCCCGTTTCAACGCGGTTAATCTCATGCTGGGGGCGAAACGCCGCCAATGCCAACGGTTAATGTTATGCACACCGCACGGGGGCCTAATCCACGGCTTAATGCAAGGTCCGCACTTTCGTCGTCTATTCCTCCGCAACCCGCCGCGCTTAGTTTGCTTGGGTGCATGCAGCTCTCAACGCGCACTCACAACACCGCGTCGCTGCAACGCGGTGTTGTGCGATCGCTGCTCTTTCCGCACCCTCCGCACGCGCAGCTTTCCTCCTTTCCCCTCACACTGTGCTCACAACACCGCGTCGAATTCGTGCTTTGCCCTGTCATACTCGCTGCCGAATTCTAGCCGCCGAATTTCCGCTGCCGAATTTCCGCTGCGGAGCTCGCAACTACCCGTCGAGTTAGTTGGTCATCCGTCGTTCAGACAGGTTCTTGAATCGACATGAAGCACAACACTTCTACTCTTTCCCTATGAGTTCGTTTGTCATCCGGCATTCGGTACCATTTTATTGGAACCCTTCCGTTAGAACCTGCAAGCCGCTGGGATGAAAGCAGGCATGGAAGCGAAGGCAGCCACCCTAATAGCAGTGCTTTCATCCAGCCAGTAGTCTCTCATCGTGGGAACCTCATCTCACTTTATATCTTAATTAAATCAGGCTCCGAGATCCCAACGTCGTGTCTACTAGTGCTGCCTCCGAGATCCTAACATCGATTTTCATGCCGCCTCCTTCTCTGAAAAAGTAGCACCTCCGTACTTCGGGCTTCGGTCCACTTACGCCAGCTCCACGCATCTCCCGCCGCTTTCTCCGCGTACGGTTTCCTACAGCAGGAGCCTGCGCCGGCAAGTGCGGTAACCATGGGGTCGGGTATGAGCCGCCCGCGGCGCAAAAAGGGCCCTGACATCCGCGGAAAGATGTCCGCCCTCGCAGAATCCACCTCCTCCTCCGCTTCCGCCTCCCGCTCCTCCTCCGGCTCCGCTTCCGCCAAAACCTCCTCCCCTTTCGCGTGGATCGCGCAGCGCGCCAAGGCCCTCCGCGAAGGGAAGACATGGCGGCGG